ATTCCACAGGTATTATCAATTCATGAGGGCCCAGCCAGTGAAGGAGGGAGGGCAGACTGAGATTGCCACTCCCTTCTAACATTGACAAGATTAAAAATAAAATAGCTAGAGACATCCGGGGATTTTTTTTTTTGATGAGCAAGGTTACGGCATTGTTTTAATTTATTTAGTTTAAAAAATAAAATATTAAATTTATGACCTCTGAAGCTGCTCTCTTTTACTGTTTTTCTGGTTTTTACTTTTATATGTAATATATAGTAAGTGTAAGTATTGCGATCGTGAAAATTTTTGAATCTGAGTTTTCAACAGAAATACACGTTTTGATGTCCACTGAGTCCAAATAACTAAGTCCCGAAAAATGGCCTGTGTGTCTGTGTGTATGTGAACACTCTAGCTCGAAACCGAAAAGTCGTACTAAACTGATATTATATATTTAAGATAGATATATGCCTTAGATGTCCTGGCAACTTTTTCCTTAAAATCGACTAATCGGAAGCGCCACTTTATATCAACTCTGAAACACGTTTTTACAATTTTCTCAAAAACGGCTCTAACGATTTTGATTAATCTCGGTATATTATTGTATAATTAAGTGGTCTTTAATATAGTTTAGGTCTTATCTTGTCACTTTACATGGCTTAAATGCCTAATGTTCCTATGCCTCTTCTTCTAAAGTTCCTTTAATATGGTTTATTTTAAATAATTAACTATCTTTCATTATTAAAAGTTACGAAAAAAATGCTAAATATAAATTTTGAAAGAAATTGATAATTGAATGAAGAAAAAAAAAAAAAAAATGCTTATATAGGTCGAAAATGAATCTCGGGAAATACTGTTCAGAAGTTATACTTATAATATATCGTTGGAAAGCTCAGAATTTTAGGAAAAACCAATATCTAATATAGGAAGTTGTAGAAGGTAACGAAGAGTGGCGAAAAAAATATAAATAATAACATGTTTTCAAGTAAATTAAATGAAATTTTCTTACTAAATGTAAACTTTTAAAGTTTGAAAAAATATTTAAAACCCACGGATTCAAGGCAATGACATTGTTTAAGATAATATTTCATTGTACTTTGTGGAAGAAGAAGTGAAGTATAAAAATATTTCATGGATACGTTTATAACCTTAAATATATTTACTGTAGTTTAATAACACTAGATCTGACATTATATATTCAAATAATTAGGTATCTATCCTCCGTTTATTCCGAAAAATCATTATGTAACCTTTTAGAAAAATAAATTAGTGAATAATTTTCTCTTTGCGATATTCCAACAGGTTCCATTCACAATTAGTGTGACAACTTTTGACCTGTCTATGACAGACAATACAAATCTCTTAATTAGGTTTTAATAAACTTTGCAATCGAAAATAACAGTTTAATAACTAATAGTTGTACAATCTATAATTAACGGATCGTACAATCCATAATCAACCGGCGATGTAATAAATAGGATTTTTGTTATTTTAATAGTATTTATTATTTGTTAGCTGCAATCTTTTAGCTTTAGATCAGTTAAAAATGCAATTAAAAAATTTTATAATAGCCCAACATGGCCAGAAAATAATTTCTATTCAAAGTTGAGTGGTAAGTAAACGTTGTGTGTTGCGCGCACCAGATTTGTTTTTCTGAGGCCACAAAGTTTGTACTCTCAGGTTGCTTCAGATTACCTTAATCTGCCTTGAAATTAATTTTTTTTTTTTCGAAAAAATGGTTTAACCAAAAGTACTATAATAATTCATTAGTTACTTCATTAATTGGTTAAAATAATTAATTACAGTAAAAATTGTGGCTTTAAATGATTAATTTGGTTACGTTTTATAAACAAATTAATTTAATTATCTTTTTATTTCGACACCAAAAAATGCTTGATTAAAAACAAATTTGTAACATACAAAAATAATTGTATGACGATATAATAACTTATTTTTAAATAAATTTAAAGTTAATGTTATCAAATGCTGGAGTGAATTAATTATACCTTACTTTAAAAGTTAGGTTTATGAAATTTCAACATTAACCAATATGAAACAATATTATATTTGAATCGATTGTTATAATACGTGGTTTGGTTTAAAATATCGATTGTTATAAAATTGGTTGATCTGCTATCTCGGACGATGTTTCAGCAAATTACTTTATGTCGAACCATCACTATCCTGGATCGTATTTCAGATTAAAAAACAAAATAAAATTACTACCTCGTCACTTATGTTCATTGTAAGCATTATCCTAACTCCACGAGGATCTGAAAAAAAATAGGTTTAAAATTAATTTCTGTGCTGTGCACTCTTTCATATGGTTATTGTTTTTTACTTTCACTTAAATAGCATAGTTCAAAAACAAAATGGCGTTGGACGTTTTAAAGTATTTAAGTTAGCTATATGCCTGGGATGTTATAACAATTTATTTCGCAAAAATCTTCTTAAAGGAAGTGTGACTTTATATTCTACCTATGATTACGATTTTCACAATAATAGATCTGACTTAATTGAATAAAAATTTTAAACCGATGTAAGATTGAATGGCTTATAACATCAATTCGATGTTATTCTTATAGAAGAAATGGCAGACTTTAAATCTTGAATTTTCAAAATTCAAAATACCTTTAATTTTTTTAATTCTTAATGGTAATACAAAATGCATAAACAAGAACCGTGAAATAATTTGATAATTAACAAACCGAGAAAATTGGAGAAATATTTTTGCAGTTTGATAAAAAATTTCTGGAAATATTACTGCAGGTATATAATATACGGTCCGAAAGCTAATGGGAGTCGAAAAATTAATATTTTATGCATGAAGTCGTAGAAAGAATAATTAAAGTAACGAAAATCTAATAACTTTTAATGTTTACCTTTATATTATTGAATTTCTATAGAAAACTTAAAAATTTATTTGCAGCTTGGCAAACCAAAGATTTATGATACACTTGGTTAGAATTTATATTTAACTGTTGTATATTTCCATTTATAATAAAAATAATATTCTTAAGGTAATAATCTTTTATAAAATTGATTTTTCCTGAAAGTTAGAAATTAGTAGTAATTGAAAGTTCGTATGAAGCACTGTCCATGATTTTAAATTATAAAACCAAGCTCTATAAGCATTGTATTATTGTTATTCTTTATTTAAAAATCTTTTAACTATCGAAATCTTATGGCTTTGATTATATTTACATGTTGCCTATTGTCAGTTATAATTATTATCAATTACAATTCACATAATTTAATTTTGTCTTATAATTGCATTTAATTTTTACATTGCAGTGCTTAATATTTACTTATTTTCAAACATTTAGGAAACCTCTTAATACTAAACGATCGATCAACATTAATTATATTATATTCATATCTTGTAACCAACTTGGGTCGTCCATTGAAAATAAGTTTATGGACAATTTTTAAACCGTTTTGGACATTTCCTAAATTCTGAAACCTTCAACATAATTTCAAGCCTCTGAGCCATTCGCTACTCAAGTTTATACGAAGTCGTTTGGTTTGCTCACAGCTTGACCCTTTCCCTTCATAAAGGAAAGTATAATTATAAAAATTGTAGTTTATTTATAAATACACTTGTCTAGGATTTTTTCATGTTTATCTCTCCCATGCGTCCCTTCCTAAAATTCATACCCTTGTATCAAAATTTTTGTGGCGCAGCTTTCGCCATGCCCTTTTGGGGACCTCTGATTTTAACTAAGAGTTTCGAGAACTTTTGTACTGTTTCCTTAAAATATAGAGAACATTTTCTATTATTTAATGATACCGATTAGTCGACCAGAAAAAAACAAAAATGGTATTGTTCATTTACTTACTAATACTGCAACCATCTGTTAAGGAGTAACTGAAATTCTTCTTTGGCAATAAAGTGTATTTTGATTTACCTATGTTCTCTGTATTGATCGCTCCATATGCCTTGCACTTCATTTTATCAATTGTTCAGAGGAACAAGAGGTCCTTGAAGTAATTATGGAGTATAACAGACTAATTTGTTTAGACTCAAAGGGTATTATTTACAATTTAAAAAGTAAAAATAGTGTTCTCGAAAATTGTTTCGTCTAATTATCAAACTTCCTCTATATATATTTTTTTAAATGTTGTTTGGGACATTCAGTTAAAATTCAACATCCCAACGAACTTCTCTCTAAATATCTTTACTGCCAACTATAAAAATAACCTGTATCACTTCAACCTATGAAGAGTTTTGTGCTCAGTACTATTAAGCGAAAGCATGGTTTCTTGGTCTACGGTTGTGCAAGAAGGAGATTTCTATCTACGAGATCACGTTCAACCGCCATGTTTTTTCCCTTAATTAATTATTTTAATTAAAGGTCACACTTTATAGAGGCTGGGTGTCCCCCAGGAGGGTTCTACCTAACCAGGATCGCCCCACCGCCAATGAGACAGAATAAGTATTTTTTCTGCCATGAGCCGGGATTCGAACCTGGGACCTTTAGCATTGGAAGCTCAGTACCCTACCGCTGAGCTACCCCTCTCCCCTTACTGTAAACTATAATCCACAATTAGTCCATCTTGTGTATAAAGTTGTTGTTAAGGAAGGTATTTCATCATGTCATTTTTATTTTATATAACTTATAGCTTCATTCAGTCATATAAAAATAAGTTATAAGCCATAAATGTTTCAAAATTCAAGTTTAGAAAAACAGATATTTCGTTTTCAAGGTTCCTCCGAATGTGTCATAACTTAGATCTGACCTAGGATAACATCTTTTGTATCTTCCTCCTGCGATGTTATTGAAATCTGCATTCCTCATAACGATTTCGAACCAGCCATCCGTTGTAGCATCACTGTTTATTCTATTTCTTCAAGGCCGTACAAACCGCACAAAAGGTATTTTCTGTAATATAGGAGGCATCCGACATTTTATTCGCTAGCTATGAAAAGGACTAAAAACATCACGGCTGATTAGCAGACCGGAAGTGGAGGCGGAAGCTGCTCCATTGTGCTCACAGGAAGACCTCGGACGTTGCAGAGGATGCCAGTCCACCGCTGGCTGAATACTGATCCACAAGTGACAGTTAATCTTGTGCACGTGAGCGAGCCTTTACCGTTTAATATCACCTTTATTTTTTTACACTTATTTGCACCAAACTATTCCTTCTGAACATTCATTCAAACGACCCTTTAGCAATAAGGCTATTAATGATTGCTTATAGCATTGCTTATAGCTTTATAAGCAATGTTACGTATGGTTGTTTTCAGAGTTGCCACTCCCCTCCCCTCCTCCACCAAGGTCAATGGAGCAAAAATTTACCCTCTCATCTCCCTAGATATATTATTGCTCACTTTTCTTAAGAACAGAGAAAGGGAAAGTAGAATTATAAAAATCATAGATCATACACAATTACACTTGCTGCGGTCTGTTCCAAGTTTTCCACTTCTCTTTTATTCTGAAACTTTTCATTCCGAAAACTTATTACCCCGTTAAAATGTGCCCTCTTCAAAAATTCAAAAACCCTTTAAAATGTGCACCCCTCAAACATTTTGATGGCGCACTTGTTATAAAACCCCCTTCTGGGCACCTGATGTTTTTATAATAATGATGTTTTATTATTAACTTGTGTGGGTCTAAATACTGCTGGGGTGAATAATGCATTGTCATATTCTATATCTCTATGAAAAAAAAAAAAAAAAACTGGCGCCAAACATAGGCGCAGACATTCCATTTAGGTTTAGGTGGCGATGGAATTATGTATAAATATTGAGATATTTTATTAAAAATCAATATATCAGCTTTGGAAAAAATAGTTTTTAAACAATTATTACTGGACTGAATAATATTGATTTGTAAAAAAAAAAATTACAAATTCCTTTTTAGAAATAAATATTGTGTATTAACTTTTGATGGAACTTTCTTCCTTCAATTATTGCATTATTAATTTGTTTAAATAATTTTTTATAGTTTATAGCATTTTAATTATAAATAATTATATTAAATTTAGGAAGGGGCAGCGTTTCGTCCTATTCGTAAAAATAATTAACATGAAAAATTACAGAATTACGCCTAAGCTTTGTGACTGCATTACGTCAGCCGACTAGTGCGAGTTTTAGTGTTTGTTTTAGTTTTGGTCCGGAAATCTAAGGTATTAGAACTTCTAATTTTACACAGTTATATCTCAAAACGAGGAGAGGAAGAGTCTAAATTTGTATTGCGATCGAACTTCAGGAAGCCGAGGTATGACGTTTCTAAAGTGCTTTTTTTTTCGATTCAGATTTTCGTTGCTGTCGTTCGCCTTTGACGGGGCCACATCATTAACGCCTGAACTAATTCACTTACACATTTGGATCCACATGCATTTTGTATTGTTTTAGTTTCATTTGTACGAGTGTTATTTTATTTTTGTTTCATTTGTATGGATTTGAAGTCATTAATTATAATTCACATTTATTAAAATGTGAAATTAATTTAAAAAGGCCATTTTTTATTTTCTAAATAAACTTACCATTTAAGAGAGAAAAAAGTGATAAAATGTGTGACTTGATGCCGTTCACATACATTTATTGTCGTTTGAAAATGTCTGTATGAAATGAGACTCAACATTTTGTAGATTATTGTTTTAAAGATTATTTTATATTTTAGCGGTTTAATAGGAAACGTAAATAAAGGAAACGCGAAAAGATATGTTTTCTATTCCCATTCGGATATCAAAACCAATACTTTAATAATAAATAAATTAAGAAATTATTTATTTATAAAAAATATTTCCAAAAATCACTGATTATGTCAATTGTAATTAAAAGACACTGAAACCTGAGTAGTGTCCCTTTTGGAAAGAAATTAATTTCCAGGCTCAATTTTGAGCAAAAAAATTGTTTTTTCGGGTTCGGTTCGGAGCAAAAAAAAATGTTTAGGATTCGGTGAGAAAAACTTATATAAACTCTACTATAAAATAATATCTTTTTGTTTCTAATAGTGAATAATAAAATTTTTTTTTTTTAATTTTGATTTAAATAAAATGGTTAAAAATGCTTTTGACATATTATTTTAAAAGAATATTTGAGAATAGCAAGTTTTATTTTATTCCTTGAAAAAAAGATCGGTTTCGGAAATAAACGTATTTTGACACTAGTTTTTGTTGTGGTTTGTCAGGTGATATTTGGGTTCATCAAAAAAAAAAAATAATAAAAATTGCACCATCGGATTCATATAGAATTTTTACATAAGAATCGATACTTATTTCGATTTTATTAAAAATCGATCCGGGTTCACTTTGAAAATAAACCATTCATTTGTCTTTAATTCGCTTCATATGAACTTTGTATGTATATCGTTGAATAAGTTACAGTTCATTAAAAAAAAAATTATATATTAATCGATATCGGAATGTTTCCTCGGTCTCCGCTGATACGTTTCTGTTTGTAGATTGAGATATAATTCTTTATGATCAAAATTAGATTGAATGGTTTAGCACTATAAAACTAGTTATATCAAATTCATCTTAAGAGAATGCGTGACTTATAAAAAGAACATTGTTTATATATAAATAGTATACCTGACAGTATTCATAACTGTTACTTTCCTGTTTCTGAATAACTCTCCCACAAAAATAAACAGTAATTACCTGTGAACGGTTGGGTCCTCACTTTACGGGCGGATCTACGGGGAGAGAGGGAGGCTTTGGGGCTGAAGTCCCCCATGCAGTCAAAATGGTAAAATATAACCATGTATTTTGGAAAAAAATTATTTCTTAAAGTATTATTGTTCCTCACTAGGAATCACTAAAACACCATTTCATATAGGTAGTTAGTTTCTTTCTTTTTTCCAAAGTAATTATCGTTATTTTTGTGAAAAAAAAAAGTTTTCAGGCTGAAGTCTCACCAAAAAAATCGGATCCGCTAGTTCCTGGCCTCAGTAACTTTACGAGGGGAGAGGAGGAATAATTTAGTTTATCAGTTATTGGTACTTTTTCACCCCTTCAACCATTATTAATTTGGAAACCCAAAAGTTGAGAAATTTGAGATCCTTCTTCTAATTGTGCTTCTAATTGCGCATATTGTAGTAAAACATTTAACTCGGTTAATAGAACTTAAAACCAATACTTATACCTTTTAATTTACGCAATTGGGATTTTACCGTCATAATATATTTGAATAGTAAAGGAAATTATTGTGGTGAATCATCAACAAAATGGGTTAGAGAACTTGAACTATTTGTGTAATAAATTTCCAATATTTCTCTTTTTTTTTGTAAATCAGTCATCTGCAAAATTTTATTCCAACTATTGAAATGGTTGCGAAATTATCTATTCGTCTTTCCTCTTCTGAAAAAACAATATATTGCAATCTTTTAACTGTTCCTGCATGCTTTTACCTAATTTTGAGAAAAGCTTCATCGATATGTTTTATCAAGGCTAGACGGAAGTGGGGCTGTGGAATGTTAATAATGTACTTAAGGTTACTTAATTGAAAGTTTTCCTTACGATATGATCGGTTCATAGTTAAGGAAAGTAATAAAGCAACAGATCGGAAAATGCTGATTTAAAGTTAAAGAATTGTAATCGTATACTTGGTTTTTTTATAAACGCAAATCTGTTTCTTTTCCGTGATTTATACCATGATTATATTATTTTAATATTATAACATTATTTATAACTTTATCAAGCGTAAAAAAGCGGCTGAAATAGTTGTACTTATTATTTCGTTTGTGTGGTCTGGATTTTATTTCTGTATTCTCCATAATCAGTAAGGATTCGGACTTTAGCCAAAATATCCTAAAATATAATCCTCGTCTATTAATCTTGATCAAAGCTAATAGATATAATAAGACCCTATCTGTATGTGACAGACCTCGACCGGGCACTCCCCGCACCGTGAGAATGGCAAATGCATTGAGAGCAGTGGCTGCTCGAATCAGAAGAAATCTCATTCAAAAACAACAAATCATATCTCGGGAAATGGGAATCTCTGTCAGATCAGTGACTCACATAATAAAAAGTGACCTCAGGATGGGCGCATTTCGAAGAATTACAGGACTAAGGCTAACCACTTCCCTAAAAATATTAGAGTTGATAGCTGCAAAGTGCTCCTTGGCCGTTACACCATTGGTCTTCATCGAAAAATTTTGTTTAGCGATGAGAATATTTTTACAATTTGAGCCAAATTTAATCGCCAAAATGATCGTGTGTACGCTCTAAAGAACCCCAGGAAGTCATAGGAAGAGTGGAAAGCGATCATCAACCTTCCTTAGTGATGGTTTAGTGGGGAGGCACCGCAAAGCTCCATTTTTGTGAAAAAGGGGTTAAAACAGCCGCTAAAACTTATCAGGACGATATTTTGGAACCCGTAGTCAAGTCTCTAAATGATAATCTGTTTGCTGGAAGTTATTAGGTTTTCCAGCAGGATTCTGCTCAGCAGTGGCTGCAAACGAACATTTCAGAGTTCATCTCTGTCTCGGATTGGCCTCCAGAAAGCCCTGATCTCAATCCACTAGGTTATCGACTTTCGTCCGAACTAGAGAGGATGGCATGCCACAGACCACACCCTAATTTGGAAAGCCTCAAACAATCTTTGGTTCGAGCAGTTGAGCACTTTCTTGAAGAAGTGATGCGCTCTGCTATTGGTGACTGGCCACGGAGATTAAATGCCTTTGTCAAGGCAAAAGGGGGACATTCTGAGTAATTTATTTTTTTTTATTTACTCTCTATAGATATACATTTTATTTTCTAATATAGTTTTTGAAAAAAATGATTTTTCTTTTGAAATCTGTATACATTTCCTTGTAATGATATTTATGACAGGACTAGTTTTAAGTATTTATGACAGTGAAGTTATTAAAACTACAAGTATGTTAACAGAAGCCAGCTATGGGCTGCGCTGCCAGTAGGCGGTCCAACTGTAGGAAGGACCTCAAGTTGCCTGGAGCAAACCTAACCTTCTCGCAGAGTCAGCTTGCTTCCCTCAACACCTACCTCGCTGGCCTCGTTGACAACACAGATAGTGAGTCAGACATTAATTACTTAACTATATGTCTAAGCAAACAACTTTGTCAAATATACCATCTTGAATTTTATTATAATATTCTATTTTATTATATATTCTTTTGGTAACGTACACTTATTGGTAAATTGATAGTGAAGAACCACTAGCAGGCCGGGACTGACTGCTATCTGCCAATGTTTATAACCTTAACACTGATAATTCCGATAAGGCAGTGATAAGCCTTCTCATAATTTCTATCTTCGTATGTACAATTTATATACAATTTATGTTCACTTCGTCTTATTTATTTTGGTACGCAAAGTAGTTTTATGCTAATAACTGAAAAGTTTGGCGGGTTAAGAAGAGGGAGGTTATGTGACGTGACGTTAGATAACATAGATAAGAAGTGAGGTTTCGACCCGGCCTGCTAGTGAAGTAGTACCTTGATAGTTTACAAAAACCAAAACAAAAGAAAGGAAAAACGCGATGAAAAGTTAGGCACTTGTTACAGGTTTCAATTGGCATCGGTCGATCTTCAGGGGCGCTTTTCAATTGTTACAAATTAATAAAAAATACAAATCTTATTAAATTAATTAATTTTAACCTATCACTAAAGCAGCTGCATTTGAGAAATATTGGATAAAATGAAATTCAAATATTATATAATTTGATGTAGCTTAAGAAATAAATTTATTTTTTAGGGGGGGCTAAGTGACGTCATCGTTCGGGACGCCGAATGTTTAAGGACGGCACTGGGTACCGTCCTTTTTTTTTTAAATATTTTAATTTCTATTTATTTATTGAATATTACAACATCTCCCCTTTTAACTATAACTTTATGGTATACAGTAGTCTATCGATTTATTCGATTATAAAGTAAAATATGAACTGCTTTCTAAGAATTGTCCAGTATCTCGAGGCAGCCTCCTGTGTTCTTATGATTTGTTCTAATGGGACAATAGTCCCAGAATAATAAAGTTATTTTCATTCATTCATTCATTCATTCTATCTTTATAGCGGCGAGACAGTGATAAATCCATCTAGATTCACGAATAATGATTGTTTAGGTTCAATAAACGATCTAGGGGAAAATAGCAGGTGGCAAGATGGAAAATGCAAGGTTTCTCGGCCCTAAAATAGACTCTAATTGAAGTTGGATGTTTAAAACTTTTTGTTTTGTTAATTTTATTTGACTTATTCGTAAAGAATTCCTGTGAAAACCTTGTAAATTTAATATTAGTTCAATATCTTAATATTTAGTTATTCATCAATATAGAGGCCGTAGGAGAGGAGGTCGGGGCCCAGAACTTACACGAATCAGATAGGCACCTCAAAACTTAGATATGCTGATGCAGTGGAAGCAGACAACCTAGCTCTCCTTGGTGTCTGCGACCGACAACAGCTGCATTTCTTAGGAATGAGGGACGGTTGAAGTCGGAGGAGGTTGTGACTGCATGACTTGCTATGCCACGAAAGAGGAAGAAGAAGAAGAATAGAAAAAAAAAAAATGACAAACGTGCCATTTGTCCAAATTTGGAATCCGACCATTAAAAGATTCATGGTCTTATATCACGACCTAATTGAGAGGATTATGTTATTTATAATCTTTTCGTAACACTAACTGATGCTTCCAAAGAAGTGATCGCAGGATAAAAAAATGCCAAAGTACCGGAAAGTATAACGAAGCAGCTTGAGCATTCCCATGACATAGAGACTCATTAGAAGATCGTCCAATCATTGTTTTGTCCTAATAACAGCAGAAGTTGAGTCACTTAGAGATGCAATATGTATAATACAATGGAATAAAAAACTTCTTCAGAATATTTTTTAGCCTTACACTCGCGACACAAGCACAGTTCATCTTGTTAAAATTTAGGTTGTTAGTGCAACAAATAATGATCTATAGTTACTCTTGATAAAACATCTTATGCAGATACAGCGATATGATTCACTTGAGTTCTTTTTACTCTTTACCATACAATCTAAACGTTTTAGATCGATTTTAAAGTAAAGGGATATGGAATATCTGTGTTTATTTCGCATCTAAAAATGCATCTATGATGTCGTAATTCAATATCGATAAAAATGGCACACGTTTGTTTTCTGAAGAAACCATTTGACATCCTGTAAAATCAAAATGCGATTCCTGATTAACCCTGCAAGTGAGAGATCCGGTCGGAGTGAGGCACCTTTAGGAAACTGATGGGTCTCACACAATCGGTGTGAGAAGCGGGGGGAGGAGAAACATTGTATATTTCTTTTCAGTGGTACCCATTCTCCCCAAGATCGATGGCGCATAAACCTTCCCCCCTTCTGCAAAGATATTTTATTTCTGCTCCCTTCTTAAAAATTGTGTAATCTATAGTAGAGTTTTCAAAATCATAAATCATGAACAATTACACTTTCAGTGCTATATTTTTTGCTTTCATCGTGTCTCCTGATTTTAAACATTTCATTTCAAAAATGCATAACCCTGTCGAAATGTGCCCCGTTCTAAAATCCAAAACTCCGTCCAAACGTGCTTCCCTCAAAAAAATGTGCCCCAATAAACTTCCTTCTGGGTACCTTTGTTTCTGTTGGAATTGGTTACCGATGCTCAACGTTTTCTAACTGTGATTACGCATTGCATGCGCCTTATAGTCTTGGGTCATATAAATGCTGAAGTGGAGTGAGATCGCTTGAATTTATGGGTGGTATAATAGATCAGATAACACATTGTAAGAAAAAATCTCCCAATTAGTGACGACAAACGAATTGGAAAAAAAGAAAATTATATCTGTCAGCAAGACTATGACCCCCCCAACATAGAGCTCGGGAAAGTAAGATGTAAATCCTACACAGAGCACCGAAATGGTTAGAAAATCCTTGAAGGATCAAGTTAGTAAACGCAATGTTTCTAATTTCTATAATTTATTTAAGAGTGTGACTACTGAATAATAGAAAAAAATTCCTTCGTCATTGACGCAAAAAATAGTTAGGTTAATACCACAGCGCCATGCATGTGAATTATAGGCCAGAGAAAGTCACACTAAATATTAATACAAGGTCTATTGTAAATTTAAAAGCAGAAATAGACTAAATTTAAAATGGTGATTTTGAATTGTACGAAGTACTTTTGATTCGTGTTCATTGATTTCTTTAAAATAATTTTTATACTGCAATGTTATACGGTTTATATGATCAAAAATATGTTTTAAAATGTTATTTAAAATGGTTAGTGCTAATATTAAATGGTTGTGTTATTTTTACAGCTAACAATATCAATATGTTTTATTTTATATGTTAATAACTTCTGTATGAATACTTTTGACGCTGACTGTACATATATCTACAAAAAGTTTTGTTTAATACCTACAAATATAACTTATAAACAGTGCCGGTCTTAGGGTCAGGCAACAACGGCAATTGCCCCGGGTCGCCAACCTGGAGGGGTGCCAAGGGGGGGGCGCCGGCCAATCTTCAGAAGCGCTTGCCACTATTATAATAATTAATTTTAATTATTATATTTAATATTTATTAATTTTAATCGATAAAGCAACTGTATTAGAGAAATGTTGAATAAAATAACATTCATAAGTACTACACAATTTAAAACAACTTGAAAAATAAATTTAATTTCTTTTAAGGGAGGGGAAAGATAACGTCATTTTCCAGATACGCCGAATGTCTAAGGCCGGCACTGGTTATAAATCTCAACCACTTAAAGTTTGTAGGTGATCAGAGTCAGTACATTTTTCTTACAGGTTACATTAGAGAACCTAGTGTCGAAAGAAGCCTGGTGATCATCGAACGACTCATTCAGCGGCTGATATGCGGAGTTGGAGTTTTGGACAGTCGCTTCGCCTCCAAATTTCTTGTCAATTTCGAACCCCACAAACTCGGCAAGAAGGTGCGTTAGTTTTGAGACCATCTTTGCTATTTTCAATGAGCTAATGAAAGTGTCAACAATCTGTATATAAAATAATCATGATTTTTATTTATTTGCTTCATTATGATCTTTATATATTTTTTTTTCTTTTCTTAATCTATTTATTACTCACAGCTTGACAATTCAGAACTAGAAATCGGGGAGGAAGAAAAATAGTCCTAAAAAACTTTAACTAAACTGTTGATTTGACTTTCATTGATGGTGGAGGTGGAGTAAGTAGGGTTGGCTAATTTAAACTTGTTCTCCCATTGCAAAAAAAACCCTGATTTTGATCCTGTATAATCACTTCATTTTTTTTTAAGGTCTGGCTTGATGCTTTGGGTTCTTTTATGTTTGAGAAAGTATTTTTTTTTTAATCCAAGACGCACACGCATACAGACACACTCACAGACACAATCACACATCCACACTCACATTTCCACACACAAAAACACACGCGCCCGCATATGTAATATTTACTATGAAAACTTACTTTTTGATTTTTACCATGATTATTATTTTGTTTATAAATATCAACGAAATACTACCAAAACAAAGCTCGAAAAGTGAAATTTTGAACGGAACAATCCAAATTAGGCAAATTAACTATTCCATTGTCTGTTAGAGATTCATGACTCTATTAGTCTGTGTTATCAACGCAATGTTAGTTGTAAATAAAATATTAGCTGTTTATTGAACATTTCTTCTCCTTAATTTTCGACAACTTTTTTCTGATGTCACTTCTAGTTCCCCAATGCCGAAAGTTTAGGAAAGAGATGTTCAATGAACAATTAAAATATTAACATTAATTTTAATTATTCTGTTTTAAAACATAATTCCTAATTCTCTTTGATGGGCTACCAGGATCCGAGAAGAAATATATCTAAGGTAAGAAGTTTTAACTAACTGATCCCTATTTATATAAGTTTAGCGGTGTGTTTAGTTTATGGCGCCTAAACACGGAATGTAGTTCCCACTCACAGTCTGGTTACCTTCTACAAAATTGAGTAATTCTGTTTATGAGGATCGTGCTTGTAACTTTACTGAAGCGGTTTGCGCAAAGTGTGCCAATCGACCCTTCTAAACAAAACAGAACTAAGGAATATTCAATATACCGAAATCAATTCGTAAATATTAGCATAAAAAATCTTTTTTTCTTAAAAAAATAGGTAAATTATAAAGTAGGTAAATTGAATCATTAGAAAAATTTACGAACTAGAAATGTTAAAAATGAATATATTTATTGTTCTTCATTACTCCTCATAAATATCGATCATATTAATAAGAAAAATGCATTTTATTTTTGCATAGAAAATCTCTGATGTCAATGTTTTGTTACTTCTATTTTACTTGATAATGGTATTAATTTACTTAGCAACGGGCCGAGATGACCGAGTGGGTTAAGGCGCCTGCTTAATGTAGGTAATTAAGCAACGCTAAGTTAAAAGAGTTAAGCAACGTCGGGAGTGGTAAGTACTTGGATGTGTCACCCCCGCAATCCCAGATTCCCCATCCCATGTTATGTGAAACCTGAGAGTCTACTGGAGGCTTCTCATGCTGAGCGTGCTTAGGAGTGATGACCCTACCACGCTTTCATTCTACTGAGTTATCCCTGATTAGAATGTGCTATAGTTAATATATATATCTCTTTTCCGGGTACTCCGTCGATAAATCCATCTCAGAAGTTGATCCCATAAATGTTCAATGGGATTTAGGTCTAGAGAGCAAGCAGGCCAAACCAGACGTAAATCTCTTGATTTTGAAAGAACTCATTTACGAGTATACTCCATGAGTTCTAGGGGTGGTCTACAAAAACGAAATCTGGGTCTTTTCCTTCTACCATAGATTGCACTTTTGGCGCTAATGTCCAAGTCTCATTTCGTAACACCACAAGCTCTATTTGAGAGCACGTGGATATACCACCCCACACTGTAATTAAGCCTCCTCTAAATGGGTAAAAAAGCAAAATCATCAGACCTGGTATCTCTTGCTTTGTTTGAATCGTAGTTCAGTACAAATTTAGACCCATCTTTGAAAAGGCAATTATCCCATGCACGATCAATCCATGATATCTAAATCCGAACGAATTTAAGTATTTGAATTTTATGTTATAAGTTGAGTTCTGGAAAGCGCAGATTTCTTCGTCGAAACAATCAATTCTCTATCATTCTTCTCTATCTGTATGAAGGTTAATTTGCACTTTAGTGGCAAACAAAAAAAAATCATTTGCTAGCCTTCGGGTAAGTGTTGAAGCGATTCACATGACTTGGACAATCATATGCCGTCGTGCATACATTCTTTAATACCCAGAAGAACTTTTAAAAAGGGTTATTAAGAATACTAAAAGCGGTTTGTGAAAAAATAATTAGGTTTACGAAAAATAAAGTGAAGTGAACACAAACTGTAAACGAACTAAACTGAGGACAATCCTCTATTCCGGTAATATTTGAGGGAGTTTATTTCAAAGGAATTAGGCCTTTTGCGAGTGTAAACAATCAACAGGTGTCGAATTGGAAAAATATTGATTCATCAGAATTTTATACAGAACAGTTAATGCAATTATTCACTTCATTTTCAGATGATTATACATTGTGTGTATGATGGAGTTTAGGTGTGAGTAAGAAACAGAACGGGGTTTTGGGGTAGGTGACGAAGATTAAACGAATAGATTGTATTAGATCATAATTTAAGGCTGAGATTATTAATCAAGACGGGAAAACCGTTCTTTTGATTGATTTGATCATAAAAGTTTACTCCACCCCTTCCGTTCCCCTCCTCAATATTTTAATTCATTTATTATAAAATAACTCATATAAACTTCTAATAAATCGAACAAAAAATTATTATAGTATATTACATGTAATAAACTAATCACTAAGAAATTTCTCTGTAAGCCATTTAATACTTCTTTCCACTTTCATACATTAAATATCACGTTCCACTAGGACGTTTACAGAAATTTGATTCCAAAAAATTTAGGTATGAATTAAGTTACATGACATGTAACGAATAACCTGTTAAATTGATTTAGGGTTGTACATCTCTTCAACGAGGATGATACATGGATTAAGAGAAAATTTATTGCTATTCACTTCTTTAAAACGATATAAATAAAAGTAAAATTATGAATATCGTAGTTTAGTTTTTTCTCTTGTCCCTTGGTTTGAAAGTTCTCTCCAATTGAAACCCCATAAAAATATGGATCTCTTCTAAAATTCATTACCGCGTAAATGTGAGGACTCCTTCTAATCTTCATAACCTCCTAAAAATACTAGGCACACCTTAAATAAATAAGAAAAAAGTTATTTTGTTTCAAAATCCTATTTATTACACAGCCAGGGACCAGCTTGAGCTATTTAGTGCGCCTTGATGAGCTCTCCTTCCCCCAACTATATCCTGAAGATGAGGGAACCACCTGTCACCTTGTGGAACCTGAGGGTGGACCCCAAGGATTTGGTAGGCTGAGGCTGTCTGGACCTGGTGCTGAAAGGTGGGCAGAGTTCATAGGCAGTCATGGCTATCTCAGAAGGTTTGTTTTATTCATAATTCCATACAATAGTAATTTATGTATGCAATGATAGTCTACTATTCTTCCTCATTTATTTATTTAGCCAACACTAGATGCGGATATAATATTATTTGCATCTACTTAAGGAAAGAAAAGTTTATTATAAAAAAGTATCTGTTTTTATACTTAGAAAAATTCTAATTGCTGTACAATTAGTCTTTTGTATGATAAGGAGCTAGCTTAACTGGGTGCAGATACAATTACTTTTAAACACTCAAATGACTGTATGAAATAGTTTCTTTGTTCTAAATCAAAAGGGGAATTGGTATAATTTATCAAACTGTTAATGCAATAAGTTGTAAATGCTGTAGCTTTAATTAATTTTTTGTTATATTTAACAATTACATCGCCTTTATATGGCGTTAATGAACTCTTATCACACTATTATCCTTGCCTTTAATTGTGACATCAAGTAATTTAACTCAGCAACAGTGCCAGTCTTAGACATTCGGTGCCCCCGGGCAATGGCATCATCTCCCTTCCCTAAAAAAAATAAAATTTATTTTGCATATATTATGCAATATTAGAAGTTTATTTCATTCATGGGACGATTGTCCTGGTTGCTCCACCTTAAGAAAGGCACTTCTCAATAAAGCAAGGTTTATTCTATTCTTAAAAAAAATATATATATATATATATAAATTTTCCCTTTAGGTGTATATCTTTAAACCAAAACTCCGAATCAATAATGTCAATAATGAAATTTACTAATATTTATTTGTCAACACTTTGATTTATTGCTTATTTTGCATCTAGGAGATGCAAGGAGAGTAGATCATTTTTGAGTATTGTTTTTCTAATTAATATGAATTTGCTCATTTCAATATCTTATTTGAATTGTAGTATTATAATAGTGGGTACAGTTTTTGAATGACCTGGTATGTGACAAACAGAGCGAGATGGCCTGGAGACAAAGGGATGTTCCTAAAGTGGTAACATATGGCTATGCTACCTCTGTTTTTCACCAGATTTTGTTGCTTGATGAGGTAGGCACAGCTGAGCATGTTGGAGAGTGGTTCCCAGAGTGTCAGTTTCTGGAAGTTGCGGGTTTGATTTCCACCTGTATTGGTTAATTTTCATTTCTGTTAGTTCCGGGAAATGAATCTTAGCATTCTCACTCCGGTAAGTATGCAGCAGCAATCTCAAGATTCAGGGGTTGGCCAAAAGGACCACGATAGAGCTCACAGACTAGTTTCCCCCATCAGTTGAATTACCAGTTGATAGTATATAATACCAATTAGCCTATCTTGGTTCTAATAATTATAATTGATCATGACTAAATTATAATTTTTTAAATATAATAATAATTGTGGTACTATTTGTAGAGATAAGGTACAAGAAAGATTTGTTGAACTTCTGGCTCAGTCAGCTGCCAAAAGTGGACTTGCTAACTCTCCCAGCGAACTAGATGATAGTCGAATTTGTGCTGCACCTGGTAAAATAGTTGATGCCTCTCATCTTCACTATATATTACAGTTGCCACCTGGAAGACAAGTTTTTTATGGAACCGGTAAGCTTTATTCATCAATTCAGTCATATACGTTATAATTATGAATATATGTTATGTTAGATTATGAATATATGTAATAAAGAAATATAATACCTGAATAGAATCAATAATAATATTGAGGCATTATATTGAAGCATTGAATTTTATTGACAAACATTACTCTTTGTTTCATTGTATCTTTTTACAAAAGGAGCCAATGTCTAAAACATTGAAATTGTAGTGAATTGCATGAAAAATAATCAGGGTAGGGTATACATTAATTAATAAAAAAGCTCAAACTAACAGCTATTGAGACTAACTGTTAATGGGAGGTGACTTGCCCTTTTAATAATTAATGTATACTCTACCTTGATTTCTATCATGCAGCTCACTCAAATTTCAATGTTTTAAACATTTGTTCCTTTTTTCCTGGTATATTTAAAAGGAAAGCATTGATAACATTTACTTATGTATTAAAGTAAGATTAAGGAACAAGTTTGTTCATTAAATATAAAAAAACAAAATTCACTTTAATATATCTCTTTAATATACTACATACCTAGCATATCACCCACCATAATTATTATTAAGTTATCCTTACATGAAATTATCAGATAAAGATTATTTTTTTTTCTTTTATATAGGTGAGAGCCAAAAGAAATTTCCAGACCCAAGAGATTTCAGGATAGCCATTGTCGAGGGATGTTCTTGTGTCCGGTTAAGGGTAGACATGGCATATGCCGGAAATGTTGGAGTAGAAACTGACATAGAGGTATCATATTTGGGTTTTGAGTTATATATTATTTTTTCTTATGAAAGAACACATATTGTCAGTCTTAGTTGGTAGAATAGAGGGTTTCTGTTTTCATGCTATGGTATGTTAAATATGTTTCCATTCTCTAGTTCATATAATATTTTAAAAATAATTCAGTTTTTCTTTTTTTTTTTACCGAATAAATTTAGGTATAATACTTTTTCGTTGGTACCATTGTCTAATATCAGTGGTTACAAAAATGTTAATATTATCTTAACTCAAATTAATGGATCTAAAGTTATTTTTTTATGAATTATAGTTCTATTGTTATTGTTTAATAAAAAATAAATTTCTGTTTGTTAGGTTACTCTTGTTTTGGGGATCGGATTTTCTTCTTGGCCAAGTAGTGCTCAGTTTCCAGCCAGGATCAGCCTTTGTCACAGCGAATGTCTTCTTTATCACCAAGCAGCTTCTACAGTAATTTTTTTTTTTTAAATTCATGACTTTTTACAATTCTACCTACAAACTAGAAGCATTATTTGTCATTTTACTTGGTTGTAGAAGCTATCTTAACTTTTCTTCATTGGATATTTTGAAAATAAAATATTTTTATAATATATAGCTTGATTCGAAAATTTGGCATTTAAAGGATCTCATCACCACATTAAACTGATCTGAGAAATTCAACATTATATCATTTCCATCATGATTAGGTTTTCTGGCTAAAACCCTGAATAACCAACCATCTTTCTCTGTACAAGGAATCAGTGAAAAAATATGTCACATTGTTTTCATGTTTAGACTTACTTTTTTTGTGAAGGTGAACCTTATACTGATATTGGTGAACTTAATATACATTTTTTATGTAATATTGATATTAGATTAATGATGTCTGCCAAGAATTTATTTTTTCTGAAACTGTTTTTAAGTAACCAAATAAAGAATAGAAGTGTCTTGAATATAATATATTATATTTTGCAGAATCTATTAGTAATTGTATAATTTTTCACAGTTTTCTATTATGAGTATTTATTGTAGGGTTTTTATGCTGTGCCTGCACCACCACACCCTACTTTACGTTGCGAGGACCGAGGAACTGCTTGGCAGTTGAGGGCACCTGCTGCAGAACAGACACTCCTCAAACACCATTCTGCTCAGAGTGTTCCCTCAAGAACTCTTGCCATTCTTAGGGCTCTACTGCATGAGATACGATCGACTTCTAGTGGAGGTCATGTCATCAGCGACTATATGCTTAAAACTCTTTTGTGGTATGAACTGTTCTAAAAAGTAATGGTGTAGAGATGGTTCACCATGATATATTATGAGAAGAAGTTGGTCGAAGGGTGCGGTCAAATAAATACTAAATTTTTAAAATAGGATTTTAAAAATACTTACTTATTTGACCACACTCCCCGACCAACTCCTTCTCATGTTCTTAAAGTATTTCATTAAAGTAATATTCTCTATATACCTAAACTGTATTGTAATCTTTTTTGTTTAAAGATTAATAGATATAAAAAATTAAATTTCAAAGAATAAAAATTTATTTTTGATTGTTCGATATTATTAGAAAACGACGAAAAGTTTATGTTATCTGGATAAACTGTAAAATAAGTTCATATTAAGGATTGTAAAAAAAGTAAAAACTGTTTTATTTTACAATAGATACGTTATTATTATAGAAGAATATTTTTTCACAAACTCCAACTGTATCTTACTTCGATGGCTCCTATAATCTGATTGGCCTTCTCTAAGAGCTTCCACTATCCAACATGGCTTCTTTCCACTGACCTTCCAGTTGTGTTGGTGAAGTGTCATTCTTATATCTCCAGCTACATCGTTGATCCATCTCAACCTGGGTTTCTTCTTCTTCTTATTCGGTGTAGCACCCCCTCTATAACTTTTTTAGGTATCCTCTCCTCAGCTGTAACTAGAGATAGAAAAATCAAATTTACTTCCATAATTTGGAAATTAATTTCAATGTGAGCCACATTCATGTTTTTTGCATCCCATTTTCTTAAAAACAGCTCTTGGTTTCTCGTTCATATGTTTCTATGGTGTCTGAAATAAAACTCAACAGGGAATGAAAACATTTCTGATAATAAGGATGAAGGGACAAATAATTAAGGAGCCCGCAGGAGTAAGTGGGTTTAATGGATTTCCTAGACTTCTTTTTAAAATAAAAATTATTTCTAAAGGTCTTGAAAAAAAACAAAACAACATAACTTCTTAATTTACTTTAATTAAACTCCCTATGTATTCCAACTAGGGTAAGAAGGATGGATCATCCTACAGGTTACACTTTATTCTAGCCAGAGTGAGAAAGTCTGATTTATTCTATGGTTCTACCAAAAAGTAAATTTTAACCCATCCAGGCCGGTTTCGAAACAGTATCACTTCTGTCATAAGATTACTAATGTAGGTAGATGTATCCCAATTTAGCTTATCAAACTACAGCAAAGTTCACCGTTCCACTGATTGTTAGCTTGCCAAGATAAAAAGACAAAGTACTACTACTATTATTATAATTTTTTTTTATTTATTTATTTTTGCTACTATTATTGGCCACTCATCTCTTTTGAGCTTATCACTCTATAACCTATATAATAGTTTTCCAATATTACACTCTTGCTTCCACAATTGCATCCCAAATCCATCGTATCTTTTTATTTTTATTCATTTATTTTATGTATTTTTTTTCTATTTTAAAATTTATATTTACATACATTATTGCATTATTTAATGGTGAATAATGATTAAAATTCTTATTTCAGATTATAACAATTTCTCTCACTAGTTTTTAATTTTATAATTTTTTTTCCACCAATTTACAAGGTATAGACTGGAAGAATCAACAAGTTTAGAAGAATGGAGCCATGATATGTTGTCAACCCATGTCTTGGTTATTGCAGATAGGTTAATATCTGCACTGAGGACTCAGCGGCAACCTTCTTATTTCTTTCCATGGTTCAATGTAAGCTCCCATTAGCATATTATTTTTTTCTTTCATGATATTTATAAATGCTTCATGACACAATATTTGTGACTATTTATTTTGTAATTTAGTGACTCTTATACTGAATTTTAATATGTAATACAGTTATAAACTTTTCCACAGTTACATTGTTGCAGTTATTAATTCTATGAGATTGTTTGGTAGGGAGGTTGAAAGGTGGTGGTTAGGGGTGGTTATTCTATTGTAGTGGTTAGGGGCAGTTATTCTATTTCATAGAATGTTTTGGATATTCTTTTATTTAGTCTTTAAATCTTCTTCTTGTAGATATTTTAGGATATTGGAATATTTAGGATAATTTTAGTCTTTTTAATTTTTAGTCTGACTGAACCTTATGAAATATAGAAAGGCACAGGGTGCCGGTGACTAAATAGTAATTTTAATAATGATTACGAAAATTCTAGATATTCTAAGAAATAGAAAGAGTTTTAACCAGTACAGGAAAGGGGGAGGGGAAGGTTATAGTTATAGCACACCTCAATATGGGGAACTATTGTTTGTGTCACGCATTGTAAAAATGGTTGGGCACCCTCTGCTTGAAAGCCTCTGTTTCCGACAATATGTCAATCTTACGGCGATGTCCTTTTGCCAATTTGTGTGGCTTCCCAAGTTTTCTCAGTGCTATGAATTTCTTTAGATATAATGTTTATTTAAATTGGTGGGTAAAACATAGAATATTTATTCTAAAAAGTTGTCTTTGATTAATCTAGCAGTATATTATTTGATTATTTTTTCTTATTTTTTATTAACTTAACTATTCTAAAATACAATTCTAATGTTTATGCCACGAAATATTGAAATTCTAAATATATGCCATTATGTTGTTGATATATCATTTATATTGTTTTTAATGAAAATATTTTTATATATTAAGTATTTTTATTACTTTAAGCAATATGAAATGATTTTAATATTGAACGATAAAATGAATCTTTTACGTTCTGATTAGGTAATGCTCAATTCGCCTGGAGGAGGTACACTCCACTATACAGAAGAAGACTACAGCCATGATGCTGAATTGCTCACTTACACCCTGATTAGACTTGGTGAAATCACTGCTCCTGATTTGGTGCCTGAAGAGAGAGAACCTCGACGACGGATGGAGGCAGCTCTTGTTAGTAAATGGGAATCTCTCCTCGTATCTCTAGCACCACCTCCAGCAACAAGGGGAGTTCGCTTCTCATTTTATCCTTTGTCGTCTGCAGGTGAGTTCCCTTAAATTAAAACTAAAGATGAAATAAAATATTTATTATAAAATTTAAGTGATGTAGAAAGTAGTTGTTATGTTTCTATATTTTTGTCATATTATATCTATTTTTAGACTAACTTATACTTATTAAAGTTAAATTTAAATCAATAAGGTCAACATTTATGGTAAAAACAGGTTCCTTCAACTTTTTAGTTTTTAAGAGTCTGTTTATTTCTATTTTAGTCTAGCCTGGCAGTTAAGAGCCAACTAACCCTGTTAAATAGCACTAGGGAGAAAAAAAATAATAACTGATAAATTTAGTGTTCAATTTCTATGGCTAATGGCTGCCTTTCTTGTATAATTCGAAGGGGAATATTAAATTGATTTTGACTAAATTTTGTTGGCATTAAGAAATTAATATGATTTCAGGATATTCAACTGTTGCAGCTTCTCAATACTCAGTCAGGCAACTCAACTACATTGGTCTCCTCTTACGATCTATGTTAGTTGTACGATCTTTAACTTTGTCTAAGGTATATATTTCTACTTTTTATGTTAATACTTATCATTAAGTTGTTGTCATTAACTATTTGCTAATTTTCTTTAATTCAGAATCTTTTTTTATCATAAATGACAGCCAATTGATGTTTTAGGATTTTTAGCTGTTTATCTCATTAATTGACATTAGTAATTAACTTATCTTATTTGATAAATATTTACAGTAAATGATTGCAAATGGCTCACAGATAACCCTAAATGATAAAGAGTTTTAGAAATGTAGGAATAGATTATTGATTCAATGATTTGTTATTTAGAATAATATTTTGACATCCTGTTTTGAAGAAAAAATTAAGTATGATGGCAGTTCAGAAGACCTAATATATCTTGTGTCATCAATATTGGAACAAGCAAAACATGCCTATTTCCGCACAGCGGGTGTAAAAAAATCACTGTCTGCTCCTTATGATCAATCAGCTGCTCAACTTCTGGAAGAGGTACAGTTTTCAACGGTTCATAATCTTTTGTAAGAATTCCACTTTATTTTGTTCTTCATCCTTAAGTCCTCTTAAACTGTCGGAAATGATATATATATATATATTTATGACGCAGTTGACTTTCATCTGTAAATGAAAGTATTGGTGTACTACTGAGTGTAATGGGTGTTCTGGAGTTTTCGTTTTTTATGCAGTAACTAGGTGATAAGACCACTCCTTTATGTCATTATCTTCTTGTGCTGAATTATTAAGTTGATTAAAATAAAACGTGTTACACATACTTATTTACAAACTTATTTCTAATTATTAAGGTGTCTTTACAAACTGATTTTTTATTCCTTAGGGTATTTTCTTTTGTGCACGTGTTTTATATGTTTTTGATATTATATTTAATATCATTATCATTTTAAATTTACCAAAAAACGTCTATAAACTCATGTTTTTTTTTTTTTTTTCATTTTAGAGCATGAATACTAGAACAATAAAATGTCACCAAAATATAGTTCTATATTTATTAAGAAAATTTCAAAATAGTAATATATTTTATTTTATAAAATCATTATAATTCACCTTTACTACTTCATTAATGTTTAATGTTTCTTCTCAACAACATTTCTAGCCTATTTGTTAATCTTGAAATTCGAGATGTATAAATAGAATGATTTGAGAATTTTTGAAATTTTTTTATGACATGCATGTAATAATGATATATAAAATAGTATATTTCATAGATGGGAAGCCTATTCCTCATTGGTGGCCACATTAAGCGTAGGCAGTAATAATAGAGGTTGCAATAATTGTTCAAATTTTACTGGCACTATTTTGTTTGTAAATAAATACACACATCCATATTCATATATTAACTTAATTCTATTAATGTTTACATTTTGTAACTTAAATATTTATTAATTCTATCTCTAGATTAATGAAGACAGAGGCTGGAGTTAGCTCACGGAGGCTACATTCAGCCTCAAGGCCACAAGTTACCTACCTGTGGTATATTTAATGATTAATAACAGATGATATAGTCATTTTAACTATATTATTTTATGTATGATAACTTATACCAATCTAAAAACAAATTACCATGAATAATATAATAAATATATAAACACTTTTAGTTTATTAAAGATGAACTAATAAGTTGAAACATTGCTTAGAGGAAACAGTGAACATTAATGAAATAATGTGGATGAATTTTAAATCTTATTTTATAATTTCCTTGAAATTATATAATTTATTGATTATTATAATTTGGTGGTAATTAATATTATGATTTTTATGTACTTCACATGAGAAATAGCAGTTTAAAAAATAGTGTATTATGAAATTCACATTAAAATATTCCATAATTTACTCCAGTTTCTCTTTGTAGATTCGGAAAAGTGGCACTCATGTCGACACATCAGATGACAATGCAGTTGTTCGAGAAGTTTTGAAATGGCTTTATTTTGGACTCGATCGACAGAAGAAAAGGCTTGGACCCGTACTCAGGCCTTATCTGAACAATCTTTTCTCTGCTTCTCATGAAAACTCCTGGTTTGCTCCAGAGTGGTTGAGGCGGCAATCAACTGAGGAACTAGGAGCTTTAGGAGAATTTGCTCATCTTGTGATTACTGGAAAGATACCAGCCAATGAAGGCATTCTTGATGCTGAAAACAAAGGTTGATACTTTAAATTTTTTAATATATTTTTTTTATACCAGTGGCTAATTTCTAAATAATGAAACTATGTTATGAATTTTTCTTTAGTAACTGTAAATTAATTGTTTTATTGCATGTTTTATTATTTAGATAGTAAACAACCATTAATCACATCTAACCAAAGATGGTAACTATTATCAGTTTTTCATCTTAATTCTATTTACACTTTTATATTTGTTCATGATGAGAATAAATCCTATCTTAATTATATTATAAACTCATGCATTGTGTCGTATTTAAAATATATACTGCTAATAATACACTTTTATATCTTTGACTGAGTATACATCATAGAAAATTGGATTTAATTTCTGAGACAGAAATCACTCAATTTCATGTAATGTATTTTAGATTATATTTGAATGAACCATGTTACTGTCTTGAAAAAAAAAACTAAAAACTAAATTATGATTGGAAAAATATGTAGGCAGATTTCATCATATATATATCATATATATAGTCTCACCCTTTTAAAAGGGTTGTGATTCATGGAGTTTATTGTTAATGAACAAATAAAATTTTGAATTCTGCATATCATATTTTGTTTTAGGATTCTACAAACCAAATTGCTTCTAATTATTGAAAAAAATATTTAATAACAATTTTTCGGTTCTGGAAGGCTGGAATTGGGCAGAAAAAATTATTAGGACAAGTTCCGAACTGGCAGACCCGCTAGAGTTGGTGTTCACTCCAGGACCTGGTAAGGTTGTGAGACTGACTGCCAATGGAACTCAGCTTGCAGCTAGGAGCCTCACCAAGAGTAGGGGAAAAGCGACTCTTCCCAGGAAACTTCCTCCACTAAGAGGTATTTTGCAACAGATTATTCCAAATTCTGTTTTTTAAAAATGACTCCAGTCTTGATTCATGATATAAAAAAACTTATATAAAGGGATTTAACTGAAATATGTCTTTCCTAGAATAATAATATAAGCATAGGCATAAATAATGCCAAGGCAATTGAAGGAGTGCCTTACGGTGTTAGACGTCAATGGGTTATATCACAAGACTGATTTTAAAAATTGAAATATTTTAAACTTTAAAAAATTCCAAAAAAAAATTACTAAACTGGATAATATTCTAGATGTGAATAATTGTTGAGGATAAATAAACATGAAGAAATAATGACAAAATCTAGTGGTGTTGTCTGTACAATACCTGTATTATAGTAGCTAATAAGGAAAGATAATTTCACACCCGTAAACTGGATTTTACTTTGGTACTTAGGGATTACTATGTACTGGGGTTTATTTTTAATATGAAATTACATGGTGGGCTAAAATATTTTTGTGTTCTGAAAACTTTCTTTTAGTCTTGATATAAGAATGTTCCAGTCTGCCTGGTAATTTCAAGTAAAAACTGAACTCTAGTACATGGTGGTCACCTCCTAGTCCTAAAGTAAACCCAGTTTAAAGTTCTTGGAATTATAAAAAATTACTTGGTTTTACAATGGGTTCACTTCGGCTTAGCAATAAGCATTTTTAAGTGTTGACAGTATAAGGGCTCAAAAGTTAAATTTTGACATATTAGTTAAGAATTTTTTTATCAATTTCTGAAGAAAGAAGAAGTTAAGAGTAAGATAATTTTGCACTATAATTTATTCTTTAATTGTAAAAAACATACATATTATAAATACTTCGCAACCACAACCCTTGGTTCAGTACTTTGTAAGAAAGTACTTATGTTGGCCAACAGTTGGTCAAGGTGGTGATTTTTCTGAGATTACACTTAAACCCCAGATTCCTTCTCTTAATTACTTATTTAATTTTATCTTAAATACTCAGTAGAAAGGACTCACTTTATAAAGACTGGGGGTGCCTCAGGAAGGATACCTGACTCCAGTGTTGATCCAAAGCTAATATAAATTAATAAATAAATAAATCCTGGGTCCTGGAATATAGGAGCACAGTGTCTTACAGTGAAAGGGGTTGGGTGGCCAATTGTGTGTACAGAACCGCGCATTGCCGGGCAACCTGATAACCGAAGTTATTAACGATAAAATAATTTTCAGTTCCCATCCCATTGCTAAAGGTGTCTTTTACCTTGGCATTAATTCCCCACCCTCATCCCCTGGTGTGGGTATCCTTGTAGAACCTAAAAGGCAAGGATGGGAAAAACAAAAAAAAATGTGTCTTACAGTGAGTTGCCCTGCTGTAATAGGTACTTTCGGTTAGTTTTACCCCTCTAAAAACTTATCTTTTTTTATTAACAAAAATTGTATTTTTCCTCCTACTTTTAAAAATTATCATTAATAGTCTACTTGGTAATAAATTTTTAGTAATTTAAATTTTAGTGTTAAATATCTTTAACTCTAGTATATGAATTGGATTGGGGCTTCCTCTAGTTGTTTGCCCCTGGTCATTGTCCCCCTTATTTATGCTATTGCATGTTAGTAACTTTGATAAGTAAGTAATGTAACTCTGCAAATGAGGGTGGGGGAGGGCCGAATGGGCTAATGCTAGTGTACAACACCACCGTTGCCTGGCAATCTGATATATGACAAATGATATAAAAAAAGTCATGAGTTCGCCTCCCGGTGCCGAGGGAGTCTTTTAAATCCCCGCCCACACCCCCCTGGCATGGGAAAACCCCGTATAGCCGTAACGACGAGGAAGGGGAGGACTCAAAATAAAAACTGCAAATGGATTCACAAGTCCTAATTAAGGGTCAAGAGGATGAAGATGATTATATGCATTTTCAAGTTCTGAGAAGGCTGAATTTTAATCACCTATACAAATTTTATCTACCATATGAGAGATGTATATTATCATCTGCCACCTCTATTGACTCAGTTCAGAGCCAGATATTTCTTCCTTTCAATTTATCTGAATGAAAGGAAGAAATATTAACAATATACCATTTTACACCTTTATTTATAGTAGGAATTGAATTTTACTAAATATGTCACTTCTCACCTTTATCCAATTGACCCTTCAATTATTAGTGAAGACTCCCAGTACTTGTAGATAGATGCTAATGTTCCAGTGAACTTGATCAAACTGATAGAATACATGGTTACTTGAAAGAATCTATGTGACACTATACTTCTCTTTTAGGCTAAATGGGTGTTCTCCCATGCCAAGCAAAGGGAAGGAGATTAATGCCAGAGTTAAAAATCCCCGTTCTCCCTGCACCGGGATGCAAACTCATAATTATTTTATCATTTAAACTTCGGTTTATCATGTTGCCAGACAATGTGTGTGTGACACATGCATTAGCCAGCTCATCTACTCCACCATCACCATATCTCTTATGCAGTAACTAATTTTTAACCAATCAGAGTTACTTTTCAATTTTTCATTGGTAGTTTAGATTAATTTATTGAGAGCTTATGTTCCCTGAATGAGTGGTTTGAATGTAAGTCTAGATAATTATTGTTATTTTTAAAAAAATAAATATTTATCAACAGATCCTTTTAATTTGTACAATTATGTGATAGAATGTTTGAAGACCAGACTGCAACGAAATACCGATGATGATGAACTGTTGACCAACTCCCACAGCATTCTTCGCAACACAAGCCCTCTCTCTTTGGCACTGGAGGAAATGCACCGATATGGCACCCAAAGGGGACTTGGTAGCATAGTTCAAGCCCTTTTGTCCCTCAGAAAGTTCTCGGTTTGTATGATTTTCAATAATTTAGTTCAGTTATATAGCAAATCTTTCCATTTAATCACAAAGTTTGACATGAAAATATTGGAAAAACATATAGAGATAAATTGATGTATTTTATGTATTTATAAATTTTTAAAACTGTTAGTTGCTTTTAAATTCTAATAATACATTAACTATAAATATGCAGAATCTTAAAAATTCTTTACTAGTTATTTTTGGTATTTCTGAAATGCTTTAATTTAATTTAAAATGATAGATTTGAATTACAGATATTGCAGGAGGTCTGCTGCCTGTTGCCTGATGAAGAACGATGTCGAGCTTTGGAGGAAATAGAAGGAGTCAGGCGTGCACGGCCAAGGCGTGCTGCCACTGTAAGAGGTCCCCCGCAGCCTGGTTCTTTGATGGGTACCTGTCGTGCTCTTAGAGCAAGAAATCATGTCTCAGTATTTAACCCTGCTTTTTTCAGGTAAGGTTTTAGTAAGAAAAATGATTAATGTTAATTAAAATCATGAACTTATTAATACCTCATGAACTTATTAATACCTCATGAACTTATTAATACCTCATGAACTTATTAATAAAGAATGTTGTTAATTGGATTCAGTGCTTTTAAATTCTTCAAATTGGGAATTTAGAAACATGAAGCAGAATTTATTCAGGATTTTATTGTAGGGATGTTCAAGTCGTTATGTATAGTGTTATTTGAAATGTACCAAGGTGTGTTAAAAATTTTTTGTGGAATTTTTATTGTGTTATTTGTATTTTGTTTGTGTGTGTTTGTTTTGCCGAACCTCAAAGTTCTGATCCATATGTCCAAATTGGTCTCAGTATGGTGTTGTAGATTAGAAGCTTGTTTCGTAGTCTAGCGAAGATCTGTAGTCTAGATGATGTGAGAGTTGGTTATATCGTCTAGTCAGTTCTTGTCTTTTTAATTTAGTATGTATGTTCCAGGTAAGCCTTTTGTGTAAGTAAGGTCCGAGGTACCGTACATAGTTTTTTGAAGTCACTGGGATATTGTCAAACGTTACAGGTGGACATGAGGCTTTTCTTAGAGAGTAAGTCATGTGGGTAGATTTGTAACTATTGATTTTAATAGAGGTGGTTTTGAACAATTAATTCAAATTTTGTGTTAATTTAAAAATCTTTTCACGAATTAGATTTTGATAATATATCAGTGGTATATTGTAACTTACTGCTGTTTTTAATGTTCATAAATATCTCTCTTTCTTCCCTTTTAATCACTGTGTGAGTAGGATTTGGAGTTAGATAGTGTGAAGAATATGCTTCAAATATTCAATAATTACAGCAAATGAAGAAATAAATCTTCTGACTTTGGCTAAAGTAGACTATACCCCGTGGGTGGATCAGCTCCCAGAGTGTAAAGAGGTTGTAAAATTCAAAGGATCAACTCTGAGAATACAGAGAGGACAAGCTCAGAGGTCAAATGCGAATAATGGGTATTAAATCAGTAATTTTGGCTAGGAATAGGTTTAGCATTTTCTCTCTCAAAGATCATCCTGAGAAGAGAAAGATGATATAAAATGATGAACAGCTATGTGTCTAATAGGTAGATATAGATGTGACAAGCTGATTTTCAAATAAAAATATTTTTTTTTTTTAATATAACCAATTAGTGTGACTGAATAATCACTTTATAGTGTTGCAAGAGAACTTATTTGGTTATGAGGGAGTTATGAACAGATTTGTTTTCCATGTTCGATTACTATTAGAACCTGTTTTGTTTTCAGTTCTCCAGAGACTGAAGCAGTGTCCCCATTGTACAACAAAAACAATAACCGAGGCCTCAGCTCCGAAATGTCTCATATTGACAGGAATACAAGGATATGGCATCACAGGAGAAGTGATATCACTACTCAACTTTAGCAGACCAGAAGTACTTTCAAACTCACTAGTCACTATTTTTTGTAACCAAAGGTACAATTGGAACAGAACTGTTACCTGAAGGGATTTAATCTCTGTTTTCATAAGAATTTGATTGTTTTAAAATTACTTATAGAAGGGGAAAATTAATTTTAAGATAGATATAGTTGTTTTTATTGTATTGTTTGTATATTATGTTATTGTAATGTCTCAAATAAATGCAAATTTTCTCATTTTATTATTTTTTATGACCTTCAAGATTTTTTACTATATGTACATTATATTATAAATTAATTATCTATCATTCTGTAAGTTGCTGTATTCAGCCTTTCAGTATAATAATTAAATTTCAGGAGTTAAATAACATCCTCATGTACTACATGAGTTCGTCTTCACTGCTTTGAAAATATTAAATTCAAGTTTTTTATTTACACTTAAACATTTTATTTCTTCCTTACCTCACCTTTTTTGTTATCTGGAGTTTTTCCAGAGCCAGAAGAGAGGGAAAGGATTAATTCCAGACTTAAATGCCCTTGACATCAGAACCCATAATCATAATATTTGATTATGGGTTCTGTTTATACTCGTATAATATTTGATTATGGATTCTGTTTATAATGTTAATACTTGATTATCAGGATGCTGGACAGAACCTATTTTGCACATGCATTATAATTACATTTCTATGAAATATATAGTAAGAGAATGTATTGCAATCGTGAAAGATTTGAAATCTTGAGTTTTCAATGTAAATAAACCTTTTTAAGCACACTGAGCTCAAAAACTAAGTCTTAGAATATGTTATATGTGTGAGCAATCTAGCTCAAAATGACAAGTCCTACAAAACTGCAATTCTGTGTTTAAGGTATTTATGTACCCAGGAGGTCATAACCACTTTCTTTGTCAAAATCTGCCTTACTGGAGGTGCCTCTTTATATAATTGATTTTACGAAATTTCTCTAAAATGGCTCTAACGTAATGATCACTAAGATTTTAATCATTATATCAATGTACAATTAAGTAATTTATAATATATGATAGGTCTTCATTTATATTGTCTGACAGAGCTACAATTTTCAAAATGGATGTCTCTGAAGTACTTTTAATATCGTTTATTTAAATAATAACAGTTCCTGGTGATTAGTAAGAATATGAAATGGCTAAATATAAACTATGAAAGAATTTTATAATTTTCTGAAGAAGGAAAAAAAAATATATATATATTTTCAGGTTGAAAACGAAATTCCAGAAATAAGAACCAGAATATATTTGTATAATATATTGTTGGTAGCCCAGTAAATTTAGGATTTGATATCAAGGAAATTCATAATTGGCTGTAAATGTGGGAATTAGTTCTTATGGAATGTTGAAAAAACCATGAAAAGTCCCCTAAAATCCAAAATGGAGGGTCAAAAATGGGCACCTATCACTTTCTGTCTTGTTTTTCCTCATATCTCTGTCAAAAACCGTCGTTCTTGAATTCCAAAAGCACTAATATAATCGGCAAGGATGCTAGTTTTAGATTCCATCGAAGTTCACCTGATAAAAAAATGATAAACGAGCTGTAAATTGATCTATTTGTTTTTTTTTTTTTTTTGGGATCCTGACTATGAATTTTAAGTTACCGAGTGAATTTTTTCATTACGTTCCGAGATATATGCAAAAAATAGCGAAAATTCTGCAAGTTTTTAGGTTTTTGGACATGACTCCGAAACTATGAATTTTGTCAACATTATTATTTTATAAAAAGTAAAAAAATGTAAAATCCCCTTACCATTTTTATCGTAGGACCAATGAGTGAGCAGTCCACAACTTTACAACTTTAGTTTAAATTTTTGTATAGAAAGCAACGGCTTTCCATCAACAGACCGAAGTTGTGAGCTCAGAAGAGGTTTATCTACAATTAAAAATGGTTACTAACTGTAAGTCATTTAGTTAAATGAAACGGTGCATAGCTCCTAGTCTATAATTAGTTATCCAATTCGAATAGTACTCTGAGAAAATAAGCTTTGAGATCGCGTCTTTTTATTAAAAAATAACATACCACTATTTTTCAGCAAATATTAAAAAAATATTTTTTTAAACAAAAATATTAATTACAAAGTTATAAGAAGTGACAGAACTAAAATCAAGAAAATTACGCTTTCGTTGACGCTAAATAGATCCTATTTACAGCTAGTTTATAATTTTTTTATCAAGTGAACGTCGATGGAATGTAAAACTAGCATCCTTGCCGATTATATTAGTACTTTTGGAATTCAAAAACGATGGTTTTTGACGAAGATATGAGGAAAAATATAAAATAAGACAGAAAGTGTTAGGTGGCCATCTTTGAACCTCCATTTTGGATTTGAGGGTACTTTTCATGGTTTGTTCTACATTCGATAAGGAACTAATTCCCACATTTACAGCCAATTATTAATTTTCGTGATATCGGCCCTGTTTGCCTATTTTTACTGGGCTGTTGGGAAGCAAACTGAGCGTAAGATTTCTTGGACATCGGCTAGAACTTAATCGGAAATTGCAGTATATCATTCAAATTTTTCTGTGTATATTTTTTAGGATATTGAATTTGAACTCAAGCCATTTGGTCGACTAGACGCATTCGTTAAAAGAAAAATAATAAAGAATTAGTTCTTATTTTAGCTTGATAATATTTTCTCTTTTTAAAAGTTATGTGGGTACATATGAAATATTACTGTTGTACCACTATAATCTTCTATTATAAAATAATTATAGATCAAATAAAATAATTCATATATATATATATATATATATATATATATATATATATATATATATATATATATATATATATGATAATGGGTATATATGGGGAAGGAATCAGAAGTTATGAATAATGATTAATACAGAATTATGATGCAGAAATTATTATTTATTTTAAAGAAAGTCACGGATGTCTAATTCACAATCAGCGGTTCTGTAAAACATAAATATTAACTTAAAAAATGTATTGTGCCCAATAATTTGGACTTATATCTATTTCCCTGAGCGAGGTCTCCGTACGAGGAAGGAATGCTAAGAGGAAGATAGGACGAAGAAAACAGAAAAACGAAGAGGAAAAGAAGCATAAATTATTGACGAACAGGTTTGTAGTAAATGACGTCAGGTTGCCGTTCTGTGTCCAATCCACGGCAGTTCTCCTTCTGTGTTCTTCGCTGTCGTTTAAGGGTGAGTGTTAATTCAATTTAATTAAATATTGTCTGCGAAGTAAATATATATATCTTGGTTAAGCAACAATTAATTGTCGATCAGTTTAATCTTTATTCAAGATTTAAATATAGGAAATCTTAAACCTCAATACCAGTTTTGGATTTTTATTTTTTTATTGTATAATCAATAAGTATCAATTGCTTAAGAAGTTATACCTGTGTTAATGGCACAAGTAATTTATTATATTTTTATTAAACTACTTAAAGGCCTAATGCCAGTTAAAATCTGCGATGTTGTACATTGTCTTGTGTTTATTTATATAAAGATTTAAACCTAACTTATATCGAAATAATTTAAAGATATATTAATGAGTCTGACTAAGAATATAAAACTTTGTAAATATGTTTTTGAATATATATAAAAATAATGTTTTTCTTTTTGTTATAGTTTAAACTACATTATATCTAACTTTATAGTATTAGGTTCAAAACAAAATAATAATTCAGCCCTTTTCCACTTAATTTTTCACGTGTCTTTATCAATAACATATTGGTTAAAGTTATATGAAACAGAAAAAAACTTCTACGTTATCATAACAATAATTTATTGCATAAAATAATATATTATTTAAATCGGAGTTTCAGCACCTGACAATTTGCTTCTTCTATTCCTTCTTTAGCAAATGTTCGATTACTTTTTTTAACAAAAATTTTGCTTCACATGCTTACATATTATGAGGCCGTTCTTTCATATATTATCTTGACCAGAAATAATCTCCAAACTTTTTAGCCCGCGGGTCACTTTGAGATCTCCACGAAGTTCCGCGTGCGAAGGCTTCTGATGAAAACAGAAAACTTGTTCTATAGATGACACTTCAGTTGTGAAATGAGTTTAAGAGAAACAAATCACGCAATTCAAGTTTTTGTAACCTTATGTATGAATGATCAAATTAAATTTGAAAAGAAACTTTGATGGGCCGGATTGGAGATACTCACGGGTCGAAGTTGGGAGACCTCTGTTTTTGGGTATAAGTGTCAAATAGCGGTTCTGAATTCGATATCTACCACCTTAAGGGAAACTTTTATTTAAAATGTATGCCAATTGAAGTACTGTTTCATTTCTTACAAAATCAATTACTTAGGAATATAATCTTCTGTACAAAACTGGAATCAACAGTAATTTGGTTATCTGTTCGTTGTTATCTTTAATTTTTAAGAATGTTTGGTAGAATTTTTATCTTCTGGTAACGTCGTTCCTGCGAGAGATCAAAAATTATTTATCACATTAGGACTTGTAATCATTTTTTCGTGATCTACGATTGTCTTTTCCTGATGATGAAGTCAAGAATATTTGGTGTCATGGCCGTTATCGTTTTCCTGTTTGAACGTTGCTTGCCCGACAAGATTGTTTAATCGATTCAACTTTTTCTGTTTTTATCATTTTATTTCTATATTCGTGCTTGGTTATTTTTATTATTTGTGGCAGGGTCTTATTTTCGATTATTAATTTTTATTACTTTTTGTTACTAACTGCTGTTGTGCCAAAAGTAACAAAATTACAGCAGTTGAAAAACATAGAATAAAATACATTGCTATTATTAGCAGAATGTAATTAAGGATAATAAAACCACTTAATATTAGCTTTTAGAATTTAAAATAAAACTTATTTTTGATCAGTTAATTCAATGAATTATTGAATCATTATAATTCAAAATAATGAACAATAAATCATACAAAATAATGAACGACACAATTTCATATTAGAATTCTAAATTTACTCTATCATATCTTGAAGCTTATATTAATATTCAGTGGGACATCTTCTGTATAATTAGTTAAGAAAATTAACTAATTTTTGTGTCAGTGACGTAGGAATTTTGTTCTATCTTTAACGAGAGAAGTTTACAGTCAGTGGGTCCTCGATTTCAACCAATTTTTTTTTCGGTGTTCCCACATCGAAAAATATTAGACACATGACCCAGCGTTCGTTCCAATGGGCTCTAGGAGCCGAGACAAAAATATTTTATGTCATCTCAAACAAAATGTATGTTATTTGTTTTTTTATTTCTTTTGCTACATATTTTTAGATTATCAATTGATTTATTTTTTCATGCATAATAAGAAAAAATATTGACTATGGTATTAAGAGATTATAAAAATAAAAAAAAAGGATTATTACAAAATTCACTTCCAGTAAAGTAGGCCAAGTTGATATTTGTTATGAAGTTATAAATATGTTATAGAAGTTCCTGTCCTTTTAAAGTATTAAATATAAATTTTGATAAACATTAAAAATTGCAAATTTCAGTACTAGAATGAAACTTCTCAAATATTTTTATTTTATATCTTTCATTCTAATTTGTTTAGTCTTACACTTTAGTTTAGCATATAGAGCCCTAAATTAGTGATAAATTTCGTTCGAATCGGTGATATCGGCATGAAGTAGTTAAAACGTTTATGGTTGTCGAGAAAATGTCAAAGGCTCCAGCCTAGGTAAAAATTTCGTCAAAAAATTTTAATTTTTGGCTGCTATAAAAATTCGTACCTAAGGGTTTTTTGTTGTGCCAAAAACGAAGAAAAACATTGCCCCTAAAAAATATTTATCCTCACATAGTCAAGTTGATTGGTCTAAAAATTTTCCATTAGGTGAAATATAATGTATATTCTAAACTGCCTTATATCTAGAGTAAAGATTTTTTAAAGGAAGAAAAATAGTTTATATTAGTTGTTTGCATCTCAAAAAATCCCTCAACTAAGAATTTGTAGAATAATCGAAAAATTAAAAAGGAAAAATGGAAGACAGTTTTGCCTAAGCTAACTCTCTGAAATTTTGTTGACAGCCTCAAACATTGCATTAAATTTAGGGCGACTCCACCGATTAACACGAAAGTTATTAGAGTATTAAGGCTCTATATGCTACACGAAATTGTACAAACCCAACTTCCATAAATAAATTAGAACCAAAGATATAAAATAAAAATGATTAGAAATTTTTTTCTTATTTTCTAGCTTTAAAAATGATGAAATCTAAACTTATTTATGTGGGTTGGAAGAGCAGTAATTTAGCCATCCAACAGTTGTACTAACATTGAATTTGGAAAAAAATCTGAGGAATTATGAAAGCTTATGTTATCGGCTGGGAGGAAAAAAAAGTCCTCCAAGGAATCAAGTATTAAAATTTAATATTTTTGATTACCATAAAATATCGTATTTTAAAGACAGCAAAAATTTAAATTATTTTTTTTCATAACATAAATTTACTGGGCCTACTTTGCTGGAATCGCTTTATGGTTTTGAAATTTATGATAGTCCACCAAATTTATGATATTCCGGCTATTACACCAAATTCAAATATTCATAGACATCAATTTCACTAACAATCTACTAATATGTTAAAAAAGATATACAAGTTCATTCCCTTTGTGTTGAATAGGAATATTTCCGTAGTAGATTTTTTTTTACTAATTTTACTTCCACCTGCAACTAACATTTGACTAGACTAACTTTTACGCCATCAGTTTTCAAAACGCAACGGGGTACATCAATCGAGATGAAATCTCTCTTATTGAAACACATACTCTTATTGAAACTTCAGCCATCAGTTTTCTTGTTAAATGAAACGTCAAAATTCGAAATTTTAATCTAAATTTTAGCTCATAAAGCAACGGATTTCGACCGAATGTTTGAAGTTGTGTGTTCAAAAGGATTATCAAGAATTTAAAATGATCATTAGCTTTAAGTCCTTTCTTTAACTGAAACGATCGGTAGCTCTAAGTCTATAACATTCATGTTCTAATCAAGCACCAAAAATTGAGATGAGGTGGTTAAGATGGCACAAAATATTTTCGAAGTTAGTGATCTTTTAATTTAATTTGTAGTCTCCATTTATTTCTAAGGCTGCTCACTCGGCTGCAATGAAATATTTCGAGAAAAAAAAATTGTTCCTAATTCTTCTATAACTTGTAATGTATTTAGAAAAAAAAATGTAATTATAAATATGAATCATGTTAAAAATGTTTATCATTCCAAAGTTTAAGTACCTCTCTATAATAACAATATTTTTTCTATGATTCTTATTCATATTCTTATCTTATGAATAAGAATTTTCTTATTATTTAATCTATTTATTTATCAACCCTGCCGTGCCAAGTATATAATACGGGTGTCTGCAATAGTAAGATGTTAGGCAGGTCAGCTCAACATCTCACTGCTGCAAATCAATCTTTTTCTTTTGCTCTTTCTTCCGTTTTTCTTAAACATCTGCGTCATCATATCTTCTCGCAGGAGATTTAATCTGGTCGTTAACAGAAGAACGTGGGAAGAAAACAAAATTCGACTATTACGAGAGTTTTTTTTCGACATCTGTATGGGGATATTGTAATTGAAATTAGTAGAAAACAAATGTTTACGATATTCTTTTTCTGTTATAGATTCCTTTTTCCACGTGTCACCATGTTCTGTGTCAATTTCATATTCGATTACAACAGGGCCTGTACTTTAATTGTATTTCTTAAACTCACAGGATCCATGGATATAAATAAAGCGATAAATCTGAAACATTTCTTTTATCCGATTTCCGTTATTTTTCTGCATTAAATTATATAGAAAAAAATCTTTCTTAAAAATAATTTCGTTGTTTATTTATTTTTTTCAGTTTCAACTTGATCTGAAAGAAACTTTTTACTTGAAACTCCGATGCTGAAATAAAATGTATTAAATTTTAAACAATATAGTTCAATAATTGGTAAATGGTTGACTGTCGTGGATAATGAAGAGAAGAATAGTTGGGGTGGTCAGTCAAAAAATAAGGCAAAAATAAATGATAATATTTATTTTTACATAAGCCGACGTTTCGACCTGAAGTTCAGGCCATCATCAGGGCTGACTGCTCCTATGGTGTAGATGCAATGATGAAGATGCACTGCTTCTATGATGAAGATGCATTGCATCTTCACCATAGGAGCAGTCAGCCCTGATGATGGCCTGAACTTCAGGTCGAAACGTCGGCTTATGTAAAAATAAATATTATCATTTATTTTTGCCTTGTTTTTTGACTGACCACCCCAACTATTCTTCTCTTCAATATAGCTCAAGTTCTTGTTATAGAGGGAAGACCTATAAATAATCTTAATAAAATTTATTAAACAGATATTCTTAAATTTAAATTTCATTACTTCCAACGGTTTGTTTTCCCTTTAGAGCTAATAAAGTAATAATAATAATAAAGAAAAAAGTATGTGAATTGTAGTTGTAAGATGCATTTTATTTCTGGAATATAATGTTGTTTTCTCTCCTTAGGTATGTTAATCAACAGTGGCCAGAATGGATATTATAAAAACTCTAATTTTGATAACGATCTCCAGCAGTTTCCATTTCTTAACAGTAAGTATGTTTCTAAAAGTTATTTCTGTATTTAAAGCTATTTCAACTTCGTTTTTTTTCTTCTTCAAGATTGAAAGAGAATAATTGTAATCAGAATTGGCTTTACTTACGGACTTCTAATATTGTGAAAATTTTTTTTTTATTAATTCACTGCAAAAACTATTTGTTTATACCCATCTTACGACATTGACATTACCATTGTCCAATAAAATAAATAATATATTGTTAAAAAGAAATATGAAAGTACAGAAAAGGAAGATAGAAAAAAAGATTATAATTTTCTTTTCTTAAAAATGGAGCATTTGAGCCATATCTAATCAGACCTTTGAATTGGGTGTGCACCTAGGTCGGCCCACTAGTGTCTAGGGAGCAAAATATTTTTGTGAGCAATCGGGTCTGGTCGGCTTATACGTCAACGCTCGGCCTCCTCTTCTCAGCTTATTCCCGCCCTGACGTTAAATTGTGATGGGTTTGCAAACTTACGGGAATTGAACTGAATGGAAATGGAATGGATTTCATTCAAAATAAAGGATAGATTTACATTGCAATTTTTCTGATCAATATGATTATTTCAAGTGGTTCTTACTAAATATTAATCATCACAAGCAGCCCTTCAAACAAATTAAGGAAAGCTGAATATTTGAGAAAAAATAAAATCGTAGAAGGTAATGGGAGGTGATGAAAAAAATTTGTAATTAATAATTCCTGAAAACAATGATTATAGTGATTGTATTTAAAGTGAATATTTTAGACCACAAAAATCACGGATTGAATATTTTTTAAATTTTTGTTAAGACGTTAATTGATTTTCACAGTGAAATATTTCATGTGTGTTCAGTGACATTTCTGTTTTAAAAGATTCATGGCACTTAAATATTTTATCATTAATACAGTGAACACTTTTTATATGCCTTTTTAAATTGTCCTTACGCCCAAAAACTTCATTACATGCATTGCAGACGTCCTGTAATTGTTTGGCAAGAATATTTATGTGTCTTTCATTCTTTGAAGACTGTACTGACTGTTGAATTCTTGGAAGCATTCCCCACAACAATAGTTCTTTTATTATTACATGAATCAATGAGTGTCTCACCCAATTACTTTTTTTAAGAAATGATTTATTGCAACTTTGGCAGTAAAATTTGGAGTCTTCCATCGTAATAACAAAAAAATTTAGGCAAATTTTAAAATCAGATCAATTGATAAAAAAAATGAATGTAAAAAAGCTATAGTTAAAAAAAAAAATTAACAATGTACAAAAAAGTAAATAATGGTTGAAAATAAAAACAATTGATAAAAAAAAAAATAATAAAAGAATGAAAGAAAAGGATGTTTAAAAACTAAAAATAAAGTTGAGAACACGTAGAGAAACGCCAAGCGCATGCATTTAAAGAAAACAAAGCGGATTGTAGACTAGTGTCTAGGGTGCATTTCTTTTGGTTGCTCCACAAGAGGGGTTTAATTTTTTTTTATTAATTCACTGCAAAAAATTACATTATCTTTTTACACTAAGAAGAGAACGTTATTGTGAAATTGTGGATTTTTAATTTTTTAATTTATTTCGGAGGCCTCAAACATTATTAATCCGTCCAGGAAATGATCTAGATACTCCACTTCATTGGATGTTTCTCTTATTATTCGAGTAAAATAGATTTTTATTTATTTTACAATTTTTTTTATTTATTTCTAATCTAATTATCACATTCAATATAATTAGTTGGTGTGCACGAAGATTTATTAATTGAATTCATTTCGTTCTTTATCTTGATTCATGCTAATGTTTATGCATTATTTCTGTTTAGATATCTGCGAAAGATTCGTCTTTACCTGGTTCCATCCCTATAGACAAACTTCAAGTTTTTGGTGAATACATGACAGTTGTTCGAAATCATCTAGCGAAAAAAGCTGAACAAACTTCAAACTTTTTCCAACCATATTCCATAGTAAAAAATGATTCTTTGACTTCTAATATTACAGTAGATGAATTTGTGATGCTCGAAATTCTCAGTTCTCTTGCTAGTAAAGATTTCACATACACAAATTTTTTGTTGGATTTAGTCTCCCAAAAAAACATAGCAGGAAATAAAAAAGGATTGGGGTATTGGTTGAAGTCGAAGATTAAGTTACCTTATAAAATGGTGTACGATTTAATTGAAAACATTGCGAATTGGGATCGTATCGGTACCAGTCCAATGCCAACTCGTGTAGCTGAAGAGTTCTTAGTACTCAGCAATTATTCCAATATATTTCTAGATGCTTGTGGCCAAGGTGATCTGAAGATTGTCAAATTGGTTCTAAAGAGTGGGAAAAATGTCGATTTATTGTCATGTATCGAAAAAGCTTGGGTTAATTCGCATAAAGAAACCACTAAATATTTGATCGCTAATGGCGTTCTTAATAGTAATCTGAAAGGCAAGAAGATTGTGACTGCTGTTAATAATGATAACGAAACACTTCTATATCATTTATCAGGTGCCGTTATGCCTGATATTGTGAAAGATCTGCTAGAAGGAGGCGCGGAATCCAACTCTATCGGTCTGAAAGGCAATTCACCACTCCACCAAGCTGTTAAAAGCAACGATATTGAGACTGTAAAGGTTTTGTTAGAACATGGAGCTGACTTGAATGTGAGAAATTCGAATGGAGATACTGCTCTTCATGCCGCGGTTTCGCTTTGTCATGCCGAAATTTCCAAGTTGTTGGTTGATTCAGGGTCGCGGTTGGACATAAGAAATAATGTTGGTATTACGGCACTTCAGAAAGCTGAGGCATTTTGGATTAATGCCGTCATCCACCATTTGATTAAAAACAACGTGAAAATCCCTTCAGATGCTAACCTCGATCAGATCGTGGTACCATGGACTGCAACGGCTGCAGCGATGAATGAAGAATCATTTGGTGAATGTGACGAGAAAACTATAAAAAATCGCTCAGACATTGTCCAAATACTGTTAAGGAAAGGAGGTTCGTCTCATTTAACTGATGATGTCCGTACAAAATTAATGGTTTTACTAAAAAATTCTTCACCATCACTTATACAAGAGGTCGATTTTTCACCCATGATTTACAAAGGTTTCAATGGAGCTTCACTTATAAATGCTGTAGAATCAGATAATGTTACGTTAGTGAAATCTATGCTGGAAGAAGGTGCATCTATACAAAGTAAAGACTTATATGGAAATACCGCATTGCATGCAGCTGCGAGCAGAGGAAACACAGAAATCTCTGAATTATTGGTAAAAAGAGGAGCTGATGTAGGTGCTAAAAATAAAATAGGGTGGACCCCGTTACACAAAGCCGTTTATAACGGGCACGACTCGGTGGTGAAATTTCTTATAAAAAATGGTGCTGACTTGAATGCCAAAGATGCGAATGATGACACTCCTCTTCATGTAGCAGCTGTTAGGGGAAGGATGGCCTCAGCTCAGATATTACTCGATAAAGGTGCTAAAATCAAAACCAAGGACAAGGATGGTTGGGCTCCCATTCACGCCGCTGTTAAAAAAGGTCACATTGAACTTGTCAACCTTCTGATCAACAAGGGTGCTGATGTGAATGTAAAGAATACAGATGGCAGGACTCCACTATTTTTTGCTTGTCAACAAGGAGAAGATGTTATTGTAAAACTGCTTCTTCAAAGTGGAGCTGAGGTTGAAAACGATGATGTATATGGAAGGACTGCTTTACATGCTGCGGCTAGCGAGGGTAATGCTGAAGTCGTCAAGGTTTTACTTCGTAAAGGAATTAATATCAACTCGCTTGATGAAAACGGAAATACAGCGTTGCATGAAGCTGCAATTATGGGGCAAAGTGAGTCAGTCGAGGCATTGCTTAGCAGGGGTGCAAAGTTGAATATGTTGAACACCAAGGGATGGACAGCTCTACATGAAGCAGCTTGGAAAGGCCATCTGTTGGTTATTCAGTCTCTTTTAAAACATGGAATGGATATCGATACAAGGACATCTGCGGGTGAAACTGCTCTCCATCTAGCTGCTCGTGGAGATAACCCTGTAGTGGTATTGGCTTTGTTGAGAAGTGGAGCGGCTCGGGATGCGAGAGATCAAAATGGTATTACAGCACTGGAAGATGCAGCAAGGCACAATAATGTTGCAATGGTACAACTCTTGCTGGATGAAGGAGTTGGAACTAACATCGAAAGATAGACACAAAGAGTTGAAATGTACTGTCCCCAAATATTCAGTTCGCAAATATATAGTGAAAATTAAATGAAAATACCAAATTGGTAAGTTAATTTATATTAGGTAAAGAACTGGTCTTGTTAAGTCACTAAAAATCTACTATGCATTGCAACCTATTTTAACATAGTCATTTAATAAATAAATGTAAATACAGTTTAATATTTGTTTATTTTATTTTTAGTTCTCTTAATAAAATAATTAATAGAAATAAATTAATTACATTTATTTATAATTAGTTCATCTATACCATCTTACTTAAACTTTTACTTGACAGGGGATGCATGCCTTAAATTGGACCTTTTCAATCTTCCTAGAATAGGATAGTAATCTATAAGATAAATTTTATATCCTGAGGAAGTTTGGGTATACTAGCGTTTTTGGTTTATTCTTGTAAATGTTCTTTAAAAAACTGCTAAAAAATGCTTGAGTTTCGCAGTTGAGACTGAAAACAAATCTAAAAACTGAATTTCAACAATATATATAGATAAATAAGATTATATAATTATTGTATAATCATGCTCTATGGACACTGTGGTGGATATTCATCACTATATCTCTTTAATGATGTCCCTTACAATGCAATCTTTATTTAAGTCCTGGTATTTTCTTTGAATGGAAAAATTCTTCGGACACTTTATTTAAGTCAACAGTCAGTGGCCTGAATGACACCAATGAAACAGCAGTGATGCATTGATGTGAAGGGGCTATGGAGGGTACTGCGTATAGACGTATCAGCCAAATGAAAATAATTCTTTTAAGCATTAATTATTTATTTTAAGTCTAAATATGTTCTAATTAATATATTTATTAGTGATATGAATGAATGATATGAAGTGAATATGAAAAATGTTCTGAGATTAAGTTGTGCCTGAGCAATAAGGATAAAATTGGTTATTTTTTCTGTAAGGAGAAGGTGTGAACAGGAAATACACTTGCATTGGAGTGCAGTCCTTCATAGCTATGCCACTTTTGTGGGCTCAGACACGTTCCTGCTTGATTCTCAGGATTCCTAGAGTATTTTACCATGTATTACACATCATATTCCTCAGTTGAAATGAGAAATCTTCTTCCTTCTCCACAATTTCAATTACCCCTTTGAATTAATTCTTTTCTTTTCTTGATTCAACTAGTATCTGCTCCTTGAATCAGGATTCAGGAAGCTATAGATCTACTTATGTGTGATCTACTCACACACCATCTATATTTACTTTTTTGCCAAAAATTATTTAAATGTTATAAATACTATCATTTAACTTTTAACTGATAAAAATATGATCAATTTAATGATACTTATATTGTTCCTGACAATAAAACAATAAAGTCTTATTAAAATTAATTAATAGTAAAAAAAATAGTTCTAAGAAATTGCAAAAAAAAAAATTGTAGTAAGAAATGCTGAATTTTTAATTTCTGAGAAGAAATAAATAAACTTTCATTTCTTTATTTTTTTATATAAACGATTTATTACATAAAATTATTTATTGTTTTCGTAACCATTACAAATTCTTTTAAACAATTAAAAACAAACTTATTTGGCCTTCTGGTATTGATTTTATTTTATCTAATTATAAACTAGACAGTAGTTTAGTAGATCAGTAATAAATAAACATTAAAAAATACATTTGCCATGTTTAGGAATTTTTATACAAAATTTGGCACTCCTGATGGAAACATTTGTTAAAAATATTGGTTTCAATACATCAAAAAAAAAAAAAAAAGATTATTGGAGTCTATAAGTTGTCTATAACTTACTATAACATTAATCTGTGATTTAATAAAAAAAAAATTTCTCATATCTACTTAAAACTTGTGAACAATAATTTAAATAGTTCAAAGCTTGTAAAATATTATTTATCTTTATTAAAAACAAAGATAATGAAATCACAATGTCTTCTACCATAACAAATATTAGAGATTGAGAGTTTTCTATAAAATCATCTCCACCTCATTTGATTTGGATTTAACATACAGCACATTGATGAATTACTTATATTAAATGCAATATTTTCCTTCTAATTACGTATTATGAAAGATATTCAAATTTTCGATTAACATTTCTTAGTTCTTTTATTATTCAAAACAGACAAACTACATTTTGTTCTACTGAAGCACTCACACAATCTGGAAGATCAATTTTTTTTATTATAAATTAAAATTTTGTTAAAAATTCTAATTTCTTTTTAATAATTATTTTAAATATAATTATAAATTTATCTTATAATCCTTAATAATTTCAAGAACTTATTAGAATATGGAACTAAATTATGTAAAATACAATTATGTAATTCCTACTGCGTTTTTTAAATTTACTGTGAATGCCAAACCAACAGAAAGATATATGATTCAAAAATTTATTTTTCTGTGTAAAATGACTTGTAATGTAATTAAAAAGTAGTTATCAATGCTGTTTTTTCATTGGTCCTCATTTTTATTTATGTAAACTATAGAGAATAATTTTTTTTCCAATGTCAAATCAACAAAATTTAATAACTTTTGGAAAAATATTGTGATTAATATAAATAGTGATATTTCGCTTAAATAAAAAAACAAAAAACATTATATATGAGCTGTTTCAAATCAAAGACGGACATCTGTCATTTCTAAAAATTCAAGAAAACAACTATTTTTGAAGCATTGATTAAATTTTTAACCGATTCTAATGATTTTGTTTAATAATTCAACTTGTACATTCATAGATAAAATCATTAGAAATAGTTTGAGTATAACCTATAAAATAAAAATTGACTTTTCTCTGTTTTATGAAATTGATAGATGTCCGTCTTTGATATGATGCTACTCATATGTGTTTGATCAAATCAGCCAAGTTGTCATATGGTATTATTTAAATTTAAATTTATATTATTCCATTTTTTTTTGTCCAATTAACAAAATATCAAATAGATGTAATTGCTATCTTTAATAATATTATCATTATTTAGGATAGTTTCATCTATTTTTCAACCATTTCTTTATATTTTAAATCATTTAAAATAGTTACAAGAGTTAGCCATAATGGTTTCAAATTTACTTAATTTTTTTAAAACTTAAAGCTTTGATACACGATGTGGTTATTTCATTAAACTTTTCAACATTTGAACTGATCACATGGAGCATATAACTTTTTAAAAAAAAACCTCTATATAACTACAATCACCCATTATTAACGAAAACTTATTTGAAAATACAAGCTTATAAAAAGTATGAAGATCTACCTGATATGGATTAATGTGGTCTACTATAGTTAAAAGTCATATTATAAAAAATCTTACGGTAGAAAATATTATAGAAGCAAGCGCAGTAATTTTCAAAAATACTTTAATGTTTGGTGTTTTATTACTCCTAGGAGAAAAATGTTTAACAGCCTATCAAGCATTTGGCAAGTTTGCTGGCACATTAGCTATCTGAAAGCGATTTCAATTTTAACATCTTATTTTGAAACAATAATGGCAATATCTAGGCAGTCTAATCACGACTTGTAGCTAATTTTACAATTGACAAAATCGCTCATCAGTGATAACTATCAATATTTTGCGAGTTAAATTTAATTTTGTTAAACTGATATAAAAGAATTCAAAGGTAAAAAAAAGAAAAGATTTATCATTATATTGAAACCCAAGATATGAAATATCTAAATTACTTAATAATCTGTTTTGTTGGTATATACTTTTTTTAGTCAAAACAAATGATTGAGTAAAAAATATGCGTTTCAGAATTGTTTATATTTACATCTAGGTATTTATGTAATAAGAAAATTATAAAAACATATTCTATTCAATAAGGTCTTATAAATTGTTTTATGACTTTGATTTTTTAAAAATTAAAATCATGATTCCTTTTAAGAAATCCAAGAAGTAATTAGGCTAAGATATTTTAAAGCTAAATTTTATATATTTTTTAATTGGGACTGGATTCCATAAATTATACTCTAAAACGTTGGCTACATTTAAGTTTATCTAAATAATTTAACAGAGAAATTCAGCATAGAAAATTTAAATATATTATGTGTATAATAAAATAATAGTGGTTTTTAGGTGCACAAACATTAATTTTTAAGAAATTTTTGTATTTAATTTAAACAAGATATCTTGCCAATAAGGAGTCAGATATTACAAATCTTTATATACATACACACACGATTTTCTGTGTTTATTTCTGATAATTTGTTTAGATTATTAATTAATTTAAAGATTGCATGGTATAAACAGAGTAGGTCTTTACAAATAATAAAAAATATTTTTTGATACTGTGAATAGATGGTATTTGTATTGAACCTGTAGTTCCTTAATAGCCCATTAAATCCAGGGCACATTTAACTAATTATATTATATTTTAAAATATTGTTTAGATGTTGAGAACAGCATGTCTCCTATCCTAAGCGAAGACTTCTGATTTCTGTTGTATCTTTGTGATTATTTAATACCAGATTGTAAATACGTTGACAGGAATTAACTGAAAAAGTAAAAACACAATTTGGTTACTCCTTTTCTCTAGCTCTTCTGATTGTTCCTATCATTCTTTTCAAAACGTTACAAAATACAACTTTATTTCCCGGAATATATTTCATGGACGGGCCCATTTGTTAATTTATTTCATTTAGGGCTAGATTAATGTTTACATCACAATTATTTAATTACAACTACTATTTACATTTTTTTTATTATTATTTTATTCATTTTTAATTTTTTTTGTTTTATTTTTTATTGATATTAACTCTACCAATAAGTATCTAGAAGTTTCAGGTTTGTTTCTATACATTCATTGTTTAACATATATAACAGATATCAAACATATACTTATTTATCTAGTTTGATTATTAGTTAATATAATAATTGAAATTTATCTATGGAATAATATTAACAAAATCAAGGTTGTTTTTATTAAGAATTTTGTAAATATTTGGGTCCACAAATATTTATTTATAAAATATAATTTTTTACAGCTGCTTAAGTTTAAACTTAATTTTATGTTAATTCAATTACTTAATTTTTCCTTGCTGAGAATTATATATTTTTGGGTCTCATTTTTACGTAAATTTGTATATACATGTTTCCTCCCTCATTCTAGAGTGTTTTAAAAAGAATCTGAATTGGGTGTTAATTTTTTTATTAGATTTATTTTTTGCACCAGATGTTTCGGTCACAACTGATAGACCTAATAGATATATGTATGCCAACTATCTTAATATTATATTTCATCAATCTAGGTAACTCAAAAGTAACAATTGTTCCACTTTTCTGCAATGAATACTTAAATTTTTGAGAACAATAATGAAAAACATAATCTGAAAATCATTTTAAATATTGATAATTCTTGAATAACAATGAGTGAATTAGAAAATTACTAAAATAAACGTAGACAAATTTATTCAAACTAAATTAAAGTATTTTACAAATAGATCAAATTCGACTTCTTTTGAGGACAACTCATGCTTAAATTTGAAATGACATATATGCTTGATTACATTTTTCTCTTTTCCTCAATGTTACATTCTAGGAAAGATGATTTTCATTTATTAAATCCCATTATTATTAACATATATAACAAGTCCTCAAAGTGTTATTCTTCAATTTCACTGATAGCAGTTAACCTATACCTTTACCCAGTAACTGATGGCTAAACTAAGAAAGAGTGAGGGAACAAGAATAAATTGGAAGATTAGGGGGATGTCGTTTAATTTATGGTCTAGATATATCATTCATTGAGCTGTAATAAATCATCATATAAATTAATTATGCAAACAATCAAGTAATTGATTGATCTAGTAATAAAATAACAGTGACAAATTTATGAAAAAATTCAGAGATATTATTTTTAAATAAAATGATTGAAAATATAATGAACTATTGAAGATCATTTGTTGCACTATCTTCCAATGATTCTTAAGATTTGTTAGTTTTCACACATTGCAACCATCATATTATGTAATGTGATTTTTTAAATGAATGTTCATTATTGTTTTTAATGTGTTTGAATTTTTTATTTTGTTTAGAATTATGTTTTTTAAATCAAATATTTTTGATACTTGAACTGTTTGGTATTGCATAGTACACGGTAGACATTTTAATAATCAAGAAGCAATAAACAAATATTTGAGAAGGGAATAAGAAAAAAAATGAAAACAAGAGATGGTGCAGACAAATAATTACACAGATAATGAGATTTAAAAAAAACTTGAGAATAGTATCATCAGTGGAGCAGTTAAAAGTTAAGCCAGAGCTTTTGATAATTCAAAATAAGGGTTCTTATAGATCATGAATGCTAGAATTTATTTATAAAAATGTTTCTAGCTATAAATCAATTTTTTAAAATGCTCCAGTCTGTACTTCTTTTCTTTTGTCATTTTATACATATCTACTTTTTAGACTGTCACTCAATTATATAAACTGCCTCAAAAAAGTTTCCATACAGTTAGTTTTTCTTTAGCATTGCTGATAATATATTAATTAAATTATTTTTTATTAATCAGGAAGGATAGTAGAGACAAAGATGTGTCAAGATGGTAACAAGTTCATGCTGGATCACTAATCCTGTAGCAGGAAAAGATACAACTTTAATCTGAATATCAAAAAAGTTTCCGTTCATCTATAATTCTGTTTCTATTCAATGCCATTATTTCGCTCAAATTTATTATCTGAACACTACATTCAAGGTTTAGTTAAGGTTCAGTGAACTTCAAATCATCATTATGCAAATTGAATTCCATTCTATTAGACAATAGAGCTACTTTGACATCTTCTTCAATTCAAACACCATGATTTTTCACGCGCCATCCTAATTCGTCCCACAAATGTTCTATTGGGTTCATGTCTGGTGATTAAGGAGTTGTGTGCAACTGTTTTGGGACATTGTCGATTAACCATTGTTTAACTTTCTTGGCGGTGTGCTTAGGATTGTCGCCTTATTGAAAAATAAATCCCGGCATAATTCCCAGTTTTTTACAAGAATTTTTCCTTAATGAATGAAATTGTTCCTTAGAATGTTTAGGAATACACGCTGGTCCATAATTCTATCAATAAAAACGAGATTGACAACTCATAAAGCATTCATATGCCCTCATACCATTACACTTCCACTTCCAGGCTTGACGGTCGGTCAAAAATTCTTTGAAAAAAGTGCTTCTTTGTCTTTTCTCCAGAGATGACACCTTTCATCTGGTACAAAAAGGTTGAATTTGGATTTATATGAGAAGATCGCAATATCCCAGAAACTTTCTGGCTTACTCCATGGCAAACGCCAACCTCTTCTTCTTATTTGTTTGGCTTTTTTCATGTAATTCGTCTATGAAAACCTTTTTTTTTTCGGAACATTTCTGACAGTTTCTGGATTCATGCATACCTCATAACCTCTTTCACCTCCCACTGGATAAGGATATTTACTTGTACTGGTATTCCAGGGGGTACCTGGTTCAGAATAGTCCTCCTATGAACTCTATCCAATTTTCTTGGGCGACATGAACGAGGCCTGTCCTCCAACGATTTTAATTCACTGTGTCTGTTTAACACGTACTGCACAATATTATGCAATTTATTTAGTAAAGTTCCAATTTTTCGGTGAGAAAATTCTCGACTTCTCAACCACCCAATTTGGTCACGAATGCACTACTCTTAACGCATAATGATTTGAATTAGGCTGAACCTTAACTAAACCTTGAATGAAATGTTCAAATAATAAATTTGAGCATAATAATGGCATTGAATAGAAACAGAATTAAGATATTATAGATTAACAGAAACTTTTTTGACATTCAGATTAAAGTTGTAACTTTTCCTGCTACAGGATCAGTGATCCAGCATGAACTTGTTATCATGTTGATACACCTTTGCCTCTACTATCCTTTCTGATTAATAAAGATAATATAATAAATAGATTATTAGCAGTGCTAAAGAAAAACTAACCGTATGGAACCTTTTTTGAGGCAGTGCATATGATCTTACATCAATTTAATGTAAATTGTTCATTGTTTTATTGTTTACTTGTATGTACTGGTCCAGGTGGATTTGCTCAATGAACATTTTTCTTTAATCCAAATTAAAAGGATATTATTATAGTAGTGATGCATTAAGCTGAGAATATGTAATAAATTTGTCAATGTTGTATCACATTATTTCTGATCATAAGGATAATAGACTAGTGGAAAGAAGAATTTTGCATGAAGAATCATTAATTAAACTCATTACTTGTATTCATTACTGTTATGTAATAGAAAAAAAACAACATAAACATTTATGTCTTTAGTTTTACTAAACTTTAATTCTTAAATGAGACAAATTATTGTTGAAACTGGCTTCAGATTTAGTAATGGAAAATGTTATCGATTTGATAAGTCTCTGATTCTGGCTAGTTCATTGATCTAAGAGAGCCTAAGAAGCTTCTGCCAGTGTCGGTGTTGGTAGAAAAGCAGGATTCTCCAATCCCAATTGTTGCCTCGGTTCAAGATCCAAGCTAGGCCTTGTTTCACGCCTGCCGCCAATTTCTTTTGTCTGGCGGTCTACATATTCCTCTTCTCCCCGGTATTCTTCCTGAGTGCCATACCTGTAGCCACGGTTGGTAGAAGCCTCAGAGGAAGAGCTCAAGTCAGAAGTGGAAAGACCAGTGTTAACACCTAGAAAATAATTAAAATATAATACATCTTTTTATTGTGGTTGCTCTGTTGTTACATTATTCAAGAAATTTTTAATGTTACCTGACTAATAAGTTTGAAAATGTCAACAACTTGGTGTATTTAAATGGTTTATTTTAAAGCAAAGATTTTATGTTTTGTATTGTTTTTATGTATACGCAAACATACGCTTTTTTAAATCGTTAAAAAATCAAGTCATATTATCCAACTAGAAAGCATTGGATCCTCTAATATTGTTAGAGGAATGGGGTCTTATGGCCCATGGCTACAGCAGTATAATCGGATAGAGTCAGTAACTTCACTTATGTAAACTGGATTGAGGTCTGAGCTGAAGTTGGTAGTTCAACCGCGCGATCACGATAAATCGATTACTGCTCGCTGTGCGTTCAATAGTACAAGATACAGGAGGATTCAGTAGGAGGAGATTAGCGACAGCAAATGCGGCAAGTAGCTGCAATTTATGGTCAGTTATCTGGGTCAGGTGACCAGGTGGTAACCCCTGTTCCTAAATTATGTGCCCACTGGTCGCACATAGGCAGAACAACAGATGCAAATTGTCCACTTGACCACGAGCATAATCACCGCTCCGTACTCAGCAATTCAGAACCTAATAACAATTTAGTCCTCTAAAGGTAAGCGTATATAACTGACGAGACTGTGCAGGTCTCTTCTAAACGAATGCAGAGGTGTCCAGAAAGGGGATTCATGGCACAAGTTGCGCCATAAAAATGTTTGAGGAGAGGCACATTTTAATTGTTTTGAATTTTTGAGGGATCTGTAACGAATTTTCGAAATGCAAAGTTTCAAACCATAAGATGAGGAGAAGCATGAGACAGACTTCCGGATATGTAATTGTATATAATCTACGATTTTAAAATTCTACTTTCGCTTGCATTCCTTAAAGAGAACAACAGTAAAATATTTTGGAAAAAGTGGGGGAAAGTTGAATGAAGTTAACTTGAACCAGTTTAAACATCCGAACAAACAAAATATGGTTGATCAAACTTGGATTTCTTCCCAGCCCTTTGTCACCCGTATTTGTGTAATGTAGGCGAGAAGATCTCTGTAAAGTTGGCACCCAATCCTCAATATTTTAAAAATATTTTGAGAGTTCTGATAGCCCCCTTAAGAGTTCTAGAGTCCCCTATGCTTTTTAGAAGTACTTCTATTGTTTAAACGACTGAAAAAAAAAAACAAGCAAAGTTACAAAAAACTGAAACCCCGTTTTGTGCAAGTTACGAGTCTTATAAATCTTTTAATATTAATTTTAGAGCTAAAGATCATTAGGTTAATTGTTAAAACTCCTAGGAGGCTATCGAAACTCTAACAAAAAGCCCCCAAACAATTATAGAGTTCTCTGATATTTAAAAAAATATTTCTATTGTTTAAACCGCAGAAAATATCACACTAAGTTACGAAAAACTGAAATCCCACTTTGTACAACTTACGAGTCTTATAACTCTTTTAATAATAACTTTAAATCTAAAGTTCATTAGAATAATTGTTTAAACTCCTTGGAGGGCTATCGAAACTAAAAAAAAAATTGTTAAAGACACACTCCTCCGAAAGTGCTCCCTCCCCAAAGTAAATTTTTAAAAATTATTTTTGGAGTTCTGAAAGCTCCCTAATAGTTCTAGAGTTCTCTAATATTTAAAAAAACAATTCTGTTGTTTAATCCACCGAAAATGCTACTCAAAGTTATGAAAAACTAAGATCACGTATTGTGGAAATTGCGAGGCTTATGTCTTTTTTTTCTGTCAACTTTAGGGCCATGATTCACTATATTAATTTTTTTAACTCTTGGGGGTGCCACAGGAAAACTCAAGAGAATTCTCGAAATCCAAAAAAAAAAAAAAAAAAAAATAAAAATGTTCGAACAAAATTGTAATCAAACATTTTTGAAGGGATGAAAATTTATCTCGGAAAAAATTATTCTGATTGGTGTTTCAATTGCCCTCAAGCGAGTATAACCAATAATTATTGAAGTGTTTTAAGCTAGGATGCGAAACAAAACACTTTTCGACCCTCAAAGTTTCAAAAATATTTTTTGCAACTTGCCAGGCTTATATATTTTTTTTGGTCAACTACAGGGCCATGGCTCATTAAATTAATTCTTTTAATTCTCAGAGACCATATGAAAACTCAACAGAACTCTAGAAATCCAAAAAAAATGTTCGACCATATTGCAATCTAACATTTTCGAAGTCCAAAGGGATGAAAATTTATCTCGGAAAAAATTATTCTTTTTTTTTTAATTGTTTTTTTAAGGGGTACAACCGATAATAATTGGTTTTTTTTATAGCTTCCCAAACACCTTCGGACTTGGAAAATATTCGATTACAATTTTTGTCGAACATTTTTTTTGTAATTCGAGAGTTCTGTGTAGTTTTCCAATGTCCCCCTAAGAGTTACAAAAATTAATATAATGAACCATGGCCCTAATGTTGACCAAAAAAAATGTGAGCCTTGCAATTTCCACAATACTTGATTTTAGTTTTTCGTAAATTTGAGTGGTATTTTCGGTGGATTAAACAATAGAATTATTTTTTAAAATATTATAGAACTCTAGAGGGGCTATCACAACTCAAAAAATAATTTAAAAAAATTATCTTTGGTGAGGAGGCACTTTGGGAGGAGGGGGTCTTTGGAGAAATCAAATTTTTTTAGAGTTTTGATGGCTCCCTAAGGAGTTTTAACAATTATCCTAATGAACTGCACCGCCTTTGAAGAACTAAGGGCTAAGTTACTGAGTGAAACCGGTCTCTTCATTCTCACAGAAAACGATTTTCCTCACTTAGTCACTGCGAAAAATTTCCCGTACTACAAAGATTTTGTGTACGGGTGGAAAGCAGCGGTGGGGCCAGCCCATTTCAATCTAAGAAGAGGAGGAGGAGGTGCTAGACCATTGGCATGAAAAGGATAAGAAATTCACTCAAGCAAACCAATGAAATCAAGAAGGAGCAGAAGACCAAGATTTACTTGCAGCAGTGAGATGTTAAGCTGACCTGCCTAACATCTTACTATTGCAGACACCCGTATTGCCTACTAGGTACTGTAGGATTTTAAATTATTAAAAGAGTTATAAGACTTGTAAGTTGCAAAAACGGAGATATCAGTTTTTTGTAACTTTGGGTGGTATTTTCGGTGGTTCAAACAATAGAACTATTTCTAAAAAGTACTCTAGAACTCTTAGGGGGCTATCAGAACTCTCAAAAGTTTTAAAGAAAAATGAGGATGGGAGGCCAACTTCCCAGAGGTGGCGAGAAGCAGGGACAGTACTAGGATTTTTGCCTGGAGTGTTAAGCTTAATTTTTCCAACCCCCAATAAAACTCCTCAGGTAAGCATTAATGAAACAATTAAAAACGTTTAATCTTTTTTCAAACAAAAATAGTCTGAGTATAGTGAGTTCGGCCTCAGTGGCGGAGGTCAGCTACTTAATATTTTTTTTCTTAAACACAGCCATTCACCTGAACAGAAAAGAGTGAACAGAATCCTACCAAATTTAATGGGATAGCATGTGTGGGTTTATTTGTATTATATAAGAAACATACATATATGCCTATATAAATAAAACGCTTTACCAGAGAATTCTGACTCCGGCTTGTAGGAATTGTTGGGTGCGTGGACAATTGCTGTGCTCCCTTCAGGCACAAGCTCCAAGGCCACTTCTCCCACTTCCACTGTTGCTACGCCTCCTTCCTGCAGGTACATATCAATAGGTTAATAATTAACAATTGATTTACTAATTAATTTTTATGAAATTAATCATATTTATTGCATAGTTAATGGACAACTGCTTTAACATCGTTCGTGCCTTGCAGCTCCCTACAATACACGGTTATCTTATTTAATAAAATATTTTCTACAAAGTGTGTATCTTACAAGTCGCTCTTCAGTTTCCACAATAAGGTGGTTGTTTTTCATGGTCATTGTGATGATGCTGCCATTGGCTGTGGATTTGCTTGTCTGGTTGCCCGCTTCTTCTCCATCGTCGGTAGCGACGACTGAGAACTCCGATTCTGAGGTTTTGATCTGTAAAAAGAAAGTAAAAAAAAATGCATTAAACGCTAATAATAACGTTATTGCATTTGTATTTATGCTGATCTCTATTTTAAATTGAAATATTTTTTAAAGAAACTTTGACGAAATTAATCCTCAAATTTATTTTTTCTCCATTCCTAACCAGCGTGGGAACTAATGTTGAGGTGCCATTCGATAATAACTTATCAATACTCTTAGAACTAAAGAGAATAATTTAGATAATTTCTCAAAGAATAATGTTGGAAAGTTGGCAATAGTTTAGTAATATTAGATTTCATCCCCAAACTTTCTAGAATCATTAATTTGTGTTTTAATAATCGACCTGTTACACAGGCGGATAAACGAGGGGAGGAAGGGACAACCTCCATTTTACAAACTCTAAAACTGTTCATTTGATTACATATGGGATGAGCTTCTATAAACTATTACTCTCTCAATATACAATAACGATTTTAGATCCGAAATTTCTATGGAAAATCTAAGTTCGAATAATCGCGATAGGAGAGCAGCTCTATCGAGCTTAGAGGGCTGGATTGAATACTTCAGCTCCTGTAAAATCCTACTCTCCTCCGTACTAAATAGAGATTTTTTATCTGGGGTGTCTTCGTTACAGTCTACCCCGCTTTGTATATGTAAAATAAAATATGATAGTCACTAAAAACTTTTTTATGTAATGGAGAAATTTAACTTTGAATTTATCACCTGTTTTTCGAGATAAACTGACTTAAAATGCCAAGAGAACCTTAATGTTCGAAAATTAAATGTATCTTTTATTGTCATCCCAAATTCATGATAGGGATTCCATATATCTTCCGTAAACAATAATACAGATCATCTAATATATCAGCTATATTTTGTAACCAGGATGTGATATCCAAATGTCTACAAAACTTTTTAACGATTTACGATTTACATGGAGTACGAGCACTTCAATGAAGTAAACGAGGGAGTTATCTGGCTGAAGCTTTCCCAAAATATTAAAACGTAACTATGTCTTATGCAATAAATATTAAAAACCCATCTGTAAAAGTATTATTGTTGGCGTAATTACATTTAATTGAACTTTAATTAAACACCTTTTCATATAGGTTGTTATTTAGTTTCTTTCTTTTTCTACCAAAGTAGTAATCCTTATTTATAAAAAAAAAATCCCCCCAAAAAAACCTGAAGCCAAAATTAAATCCTGGATCCGCTAGTGACCTATCATCTAGATAATTAGGTCAGATGGTAAAATATTTGGTTATGATCGAGCTAACAACATTACAGTAAAACTTAATTTATTATATAATATTAATAAAAATGCACCGATTTTAGAAAAATAATCATCCAATTTAAAATAAATTAGCATTAAATATAAAGAAACTAATTTTTGAAAATTTTATTAACAGTGAAAGGTTTGTTGTTAATATTTCAAAGTTCTGAAATAAATAAAAGACTCAATCAAGATTAATTCTGTCACTCCCATTCTTTTTAAATGATCATCCCTCTTCTGACAATGCCCTTCTACAAGTATCTATGACTTTTTTTTTTGTTTATGAAACCCTTTGAGGTGGGCTGTTATACAGAGGAATAATGAAAGATTTATAAAAATATTGCTGGACTGCACCAGATGCATTTTAAAAGTGGTACATGATGGAATATGTTATATGATTATGAAAGTCTGTTGAGAAGACTGTGTAAAAGAAAATATGTGTAAAACTATGGAGTGTTTGCTGAATTGGTCCAGTAAGTAAGTTAGTTTGTCTATCAGAGGTACTCAGAATGGGGTACCATGGCGTAAATCTTGCCATCAAAATTTTGAGGGGGGTTTTGAATATTTATGGAGTCATACTTTGGGGGCGTTATGAATTTTCCGAATGAAAAGTTTCAAAACAGAGGACAAGAAGAAAAAATGGACTAGACGACAGCAAGTGTTGTGATATATGATCTACGATTTTTATTTTTCTTCTTTTGCTTGGACTGTTTTTAAGAAGGGGATAGCAATACAATTTCTTGGGAAAGGGAGGAGGGGTTCATGCGCCATCAACCTTGGAGGTGGGGATGGCACCTCTGTTTACGTAAGATTATTATAATAAATGATTCCTCTAATTTTGTGGTTAATTGTTCAAGCTATATTACAATTAGACTTTTACGGAATGTGAAGGAAAGTATTTGAAGTTTCTTAGGTCTCTTTTTAGTATATTCAACCGTCAATCCAGGAATGAGCAACTCACGGCCCGCCACACTTTCTCGTGCACCCTTTCAAATATTTTGCATATTATCTTAAATAATTTGAAAAAAAAATAAGGATGATACTCGAGTAGTGAATTAAAATTTTTAGACAAAAAAGTATTTAAGGAGAAAAAAATTTAGTTTTAATATATTTCTTAATCATTTAATATAGACATGGAAACAGTTCTGGATGAGTTACAAATAGAATTAAAAGAGATCGTGATGGCCGATCGTGTTAAAGCATGAACTTTGACATTCTCAAGCCTAACGACGCCGGTTCGGAACCCGGTCTGGGCGGGTCAAAATTTATTTCGTGGCGGACCCACGGACTGAATCTCGACCTTCCCACTCTGGTTAGAATAGGTTTGCATGTACTTCTAGAACAAACTCAGTATGCTAGCATTTGCTAGGTAAGGGTATCGATAAAAAAAGAAAAGAAATAGTTAATTAGTCAGTACATTTTAAAACGAATTGGGTTTAAAAATAATTTCCGAAATGTTGAAATACACAATTTATATAAAAATGAAATGAATTAAAAAAAAAATTACTGGCCACACATTGGAAACAAAAAATAACTCTATTGGGAGAATCTATTTTCATGAACAATTATTTTCCAAAATGAATATAAGTACTTAAAAACGATAACTGATCAACATTATTGGATGCACGGTTAATTATGCAAACTTTGTTAATGAAGGAATAATGCATTCATCATTCAGTATTAGTATTATCATAAGTTTATTTATTTTATTTTTTTCTAACCCCCCAAAATGTTTATTGGCAGAAGGCCTTGTGACTTTCATTGAACGGGGAGGGAATAAGTTTTTTTATATTTGTTGCCCAGTTTTTAAGTAGAAGAGAGCAATACACATTCTTGGGAGGAGAGATCCGTACTCCTACTTCCATCATTTTTTTGTCCTCACGGGGATAGATTCAATTAAGTGATTGTTAAAAAAAAAGCATTATTTTCAATCTTTCACAGTCTCCATAATACATTTACTCCATAACATGAAGTATAACTAAATTGGATACTTCAAAAACGAAATTCCCCAGTATTTCAATATGATGAAGCTTGAGTAATACTTATATGCACATCCACCAGAGAAAATACTGATGTCCGATGCATACGATAAGAAGATGTTTTTCTAATCGCAGAAAATTCCAGATGGGCTCTTAATATATTTCTTTTAAGATATTATCCGAAGGGCTCCATGAAATTGTAGATTAAGTTAAGAACGCGATAGATTCGCTGCAAGGGGGAATTAATTATGAAAGCTCATTGAACATAATTTTAGATCAGAAAATGAGATTGTAGATATTATCGTTCTTTTAATAATAGCCCAGTTAATCAACTTCTCATCAAGTAACTAAGGCTTAATTAATTAATTAAAAGTAATTGCATATTGTATTTAAAATTCAATTTCCACCAACTACCTGTAGAGCATCGGATTGAAGGTTAAACATAACTGCCATCGGATTTCTCTACAATGAATATTTTAATTGTTTATAAAGGGAAGTAAGAGAAATGAAATGTTGATGATCTTTGGTCAAAAATCTGTTTGAATGATGAATATTTTTTTCTTAAAAAAAAAAATGAATGAATAAAAAAAAAGTTAAAGTAACAAATATTTTTATTGATTAGAAATGATAGCCCCTTCACTATGTCATCGGAAGAGGTATTGTAATTCTCGTTATTAAAATTTGTAAAAAAATGGGTAATTTATTGTAAAACTCAATCCAAAAGCGAATTTGCAAATTACCATTTTGAAACTAATTACCTTGTAATAGATAATGTATGAGAAATGAAATATGCACATCAAAAATATTAATTTAATAGGAACATAAATTCATTGTTAGAACACGATTAAAAAATTTCAAAAACAAAATTTTGAGTCTTAACCATATTTTCAACTAACCACTATAGTCCGTGGTACAGACCCCTTTTAATTAAATCATTAACATCCGGCTGAAATTTCGTAAATAGGTTCATCTCATAGCAACCTACAAATATTTTATTTACGAAAATTCTCGGAATTGGAATTTTCAATCTGGAGGTCGGCAAAATTTTAAATTGTGTATTTAATTAGGTACTAAAAACTGTATTTCGTTTCCACTTGGATCGTAAGATAAAATGAGCACAATGTCGAGAAAAAAGTTGGCCTTCAAAAATATAACCTCGTTATTTTGGTAATTTGGGGGTGTAGGTCACAGCAAACGGATCAATATTTTTGAAGGCCCCCTTCAAAGCACGAACTATTAATGTTTTTAAAATGTATGCATCTTTATGGAAAAACAAAATACCGTATCACGTACTTTAGTGCAGACCAAATGAAGTACTTTTTACCTCACGAGTCCAACGAAGACGCATCAACAGGAGATGACTCTTAAAAATCTAAATGCTTTAAGTTTTTAATATATTTTATGTTTATTAGTCAACATGCTATTTTCGAGCTAATCTGTATCTTCCTGACGATTTTGGTTGAATTCAAATGTTCATTCTTTAAACTGTACTTTTCTGAATTATTAACGTGACACCACCCTACAAAGGGCTAAGAATCAAAAATACGCGAGGAGCTCCAGTTCCCCTTGGTACCTGAGTTCATAGGCCGGAGGCACATCAAATTTTTTGGTGTGCTGAAGACCTGTGCAAACCCACTGTTCAATGAGATCTCACCACCACCCAGACCTGGGAGGTGGCAAGGTAAACTCCCTTTGGTGGACATACTCGACGAAGGATGTGGTCTGGACTCTACGGTCCAAACCCATTAATATGTATATATGTAAATATTGTAAATAATAAATAATTAGCAGAACGGTCCATCCCCGTTCAATGAAAGTCACAAGGCCTTCTGCCACATATGTTACCCTTAGCTATCCCCGATCCTTAAAATGCCATCGGGCAGTGGAAGGAATTTGTTACTTGTATATATTGTATTGTTATGTAATTTAATACTATATATGTAATTTGGTTAAATAAATATTTTGGGGATTAGAAAAAAAATCTGAATTATTAATTTCTATTTTAATATATATATTAAATATGAATATATTCGAAAAAAGAACAATTTTTACAAAGATTTTGTTATTTAAAGATTTTACTCAATGGGATATATGACATAGATATTAGTGAAACAACATTCGAACGATAGATTTATAGTCCGTGGTACAGATCTATTTTTATCGAATTATTAACATCCACCTGAATCTTCGTAAATAGCTTCATCTCGTTGTAGCCTACAACTATTTTATTTGGAATTGGGGCGTTTTCAATCTGGATGGGGGCAAACTTTTGCTTATTTAATTAGATACTGAAAACCCGTAAAAATCCATTTGCTTTCTACTTTTATCGTAAGATAATTTGATTACGAAATCGATAGAAAAGGTGGGCTATAAATAATTGGGCCGTTTGTTCTATATAACCTCGTTATTTTGAAAATTTGTAGGTCACGCCAAACGGCTCAATATTTTTGAAGGCCACCTTATTTCCCGATTTTGTGATCAAATCATCTTACGATCCAAGTAGAAAGCAAATCAGTATTTACGAGTTTTTAGTAACTAATTAAATAGACAAAGTTCGCCCCCCTCCAGATTGAAAACGCCCATATTCCAAGAGTTTTCGTAAATAAAATAGTTGTAGGTTACGATGAGATGAAACTATTTACGAAGTTTCAGGAGGATGTTAATAATTCGATAAAAAGGGAATTGTACCACGGACTATAATCTTTAAAACTACTATTTCCAAAGATTGACTTAAATTCGCTCTTTTGGTTTTATTAATAGCAAAGTCCATGTAAGTTTCGAAGGTT